TACTAAGACTCCTTTCTGTCACGTGAGAACAATGGGCGTCGTGTGTACTTTAAATGTGCCATGATTGCAGAAATGTTTCCCAGGCTTTCCCCATGGGTCAGGGCATGGTGTAAAAAGTGGTGTTTACCTACCTTGCAAGAGGTCAAGATGTCCAAGCAGAGCTGTGTTCACATATTCAGCACCATAGAAACTTAGCACTCTCTGGTTTTGTGTAACGTGTAATTTTTATTTCATTGATGATAGGGTGTTTTATTGTTCTTTTTCCTGCACAATTTGCAACCAGATTAAAATATCGAGTTAATAAAAGCCATTCCATGTCCTGCATTGGCAATGTAGCTCCAAAAATGTCCATTTTATAGGAGCTAATATGTTCATCAAAATCTGTATAGTCAGGTAATGGTCCAACAAAGAATTGCTTTTTCTTAAAGTGAGGATGGGGCTGTAGTTCTTTCACTTTACCAGGAATTTTGCCTCTTGCCAAAAGAGATGACAACATACTGAAAGGGTTTCTGATCATTCATCAGCATTAAAACAAAAGAACTCCTGGTAAGTATCTTGATGTACATGTTAAAATCCACATAGCATTAGACAGCATTAAAAACTATGCTTAAATTTCTGAAGAATAATAATTGGGTTTCTCCTCACAACTGGCAGAGCAAAAAATCGGCAACAAACGGCTCGATTGCTTTCATTTATTTAATAATTCTTTCCCAAAAAATAACAGCTTGTGGTTGTCTGGCCCAGGTTGTGGCACATTACTTTCCACAGTGTCTCTCCTGGAATATGGTGCATGTCTTAACGTTAGCATTGTTAGAATAGCATTTCCTTTTAAACTTTCCAGAGTTTTCATGCAGCTCTAAATGGAGAGAGGAGCAGGCAGGAGGTTTCTTGCACTGTCCTTGTGAGTCAGGAGAGATCCCTGTGCAACTGCTGCTTGTGTGAGAGGCCTGAAACCTGCTGGACAGCCAGCGTGCAAGGCAAGGTCTTCACTTGTTACTGGTGCCAGATTAATAACAAAGCATGTTGTGTTGTTATGTTTGTATAATTCAAAGTAGTTACAGAATTTTAAATGGGGAAAAAAACTCCCAACACTTTTGCCTCCATTATCAAGAAATTTTTTTTCCTTATTGAAAAGCTGTAAGGACCTATCATCACATGTTATCTTCTAAAGTAAAACAAATCTCTAGGTGTTACGTGTGAACACATAAAGCAGAAAAAGTCTTAATGTGTTTTAAGTGGCATAATAGTCATCCCTCAACACAAGTATACTGCAGAGGAGAGGTGGTTTCCTTGGTAATTATGCTGAGTTGCTTGTTTGACATCTGTTATTCCTTCAGGACTGTTGCTGCCATTTGTACTTCATTGGGTTTTTCAGATGAAGAATTACCTTTTTTGGCCATGTGCTGTTTTTTGTATATCTTTTGGCTATTTGTCATCTGGGATGACTTATCTGTGTTAATCATAATAGAAAAGAAACATGGTAAGATTTTGATGATACAGAGCAGCAATTAAAAATTTGTCAGAACACTTCTAAAATAATTAAAACCTTTCCTGCTAAAATTAGGCTTTTCTGGAAACATGAACCCTTAGGCCTGGTGCTCCAGGCAGCATAAGTAGCTCAGGATTAAGCTATAAAAACTTCTGATTGTCTTGACAATTGAATTTTAAAGAATTAGAAGTCTGAGAGTCAGATATCTCTAAGGCTGTACAAACCACAAGATCCTTAGAATGTGTTTGTAGGACAGCTTTTATTTGCAGGCAGGCCTTGAGAGCTTCAAATGCTCTTTTTTTTTTTTTCCACTCCCCCCATTAGTGCAGAGAGAAGATGACAGATATTACTGAGCTCCTGGCAAGTTGCAGTCTGCTGGGATTGATGTGTTAAATATCTTTCCTTTAATAAAATACTTCACTTGGTTAAGTGCTCATGTTAAAGAACTAGGTGGATTTTGAAAATATGCTGTGAGTGAAAGTGTAGGTGAGCTATGGACTTAGAAGCTGTGAAACTTTGAAGTTTAAAAAAAAAGAAGTTGGGGGTTTGAGGGTATAATCTGTCAGTTCTTTTCCCCAATTTTCTTGATAAACAGCTAAATTACAGTTTCTATTGGATTATAGTAATTTGCTTCCAAAAGTTTTTGTTTATAATATTTATTTTTCATCTTCCACAAGAGACTCCTTTAATGTGTCAGTCAGCCTGTAAGGTGTCAGACTTCTGCTTAGGGACAGTAGGGAACCACGCAGGCATTGACTTTCAGGAGTGGCTTTTGCTTTATGGGTAGTTAAACTCAGCTGGAAGAATCTGTGAGGTGTTGGGTGTGTTTTGTTTTCCTGTTCAGCTGTTACCAGAGGTGTTGATACGGGTTTGTAGTGCAACAACAATTGATGCTTTATTCTAGATACCTTCATGGCAAAAGATATTAAAGTGGAGAGCTAAAACCAAAATCACTGTTGAGAAAGAGAAGTACTGCCTTCCTTCAAACTGGTGGATGTTCATGTTTTCTAATCACTGATCCTGGGTCCATCCTGGGAACATGTGCCTCTCCTTACTGACATGAACTGAAGACCAAGATCAGGCTCTCTTCAACACTTCTGCCTTTCTTTTTAGCATGCATTAGTTTTATCATTTTGCTCATTGTGGTGTAGTTCATCTCTTTCTCTTTCTTGGTGTACACAGCCTTCCCTCTTCTCTGCATGTCCCTGGAGAGTAGGAATAACGCCAGTGTGTACAAAAGTGAGGGTGCTTTCTGAGCCCCTTCTCTCTCTTCATGTCACACTTTATTTTTTTTTCTTCTGATATCTTCAGTGTGTTTGAAGAACCAGCCATGCTTTATATTACTTCATCTGTTTCCATTGATGAAAATGCGTCCTGGTTACAGATTCAAATTTTCTAATCTTAGAGTGGCAAATAGTTTTTCTAATAGTAGGCTTTGTGTTATGCAAGATTTTTTTTAAAGCAATATATTTTTCCAGGTCTTCTTACTTCACAGATTTCTTTCCCACCCTTTTCCCCTCATGCACAGAAATGTAACTTGAAGTTGTAGCAGTATTTGTAGTGTACAGCAGTGAGTGTATGAAAGTCCACCACCTTAATATGCATTTCCATTGCCCACTTAATTTTATAATGTCGAGCTTAATTACAATTTGTGTATTTTGTGACTTCTTTTTTTTTTTTTTTCTCCTCCAACTTAATCAGGATCCCGGCATTATTTGGCCAATGAAAAGTAAATGTCAAATGAAAATTTGACTGCCTTACAATAGGAGTACTCCAGGGGGCAGCTTGTTTTACTGAAAATGAAGCCAGAGGTTGTCCAGAGATGTTTTGGAGTTTCCAAGATTGGAGGTGCTCAATTCCTGGGCAAGTAGCTTTAGGTCTGCTTGAGCTGGGGGTGGACGAGGTGACCTCTGAAGGTCCTTGCCAATCTCAATCATTCCATGATTCTCCAGAGGTTTTCTCCATGTGCCCAGAGGGGAAAATTCTGTACCTTTCATTCCTTTCAAATAGCAGCTATTTGGCAGGTACTCTAATGTATATAAGTATGAACTAATGTGCCTGGAACATTAATGTTTTCATAGGGCACAGTCTTATGGGTGCCTAATTGAGATTAAGTATTTACCTATGTGCTTTAAGTGTCTTAATTTCTTTCTTATCCTGGACCATTACCAAGTATTCATTAGTGTCTCTGACAGAATATTTCTATTTATCACTTCACTAAAGTTCTTTAAAGTATGATTTCACTATATTTAGATGAGTGTGAATCCTAGTCTGTGTGTGCTGTGCAATATAAAAATTCTTCTGCCCTGAGCAGAATGGAGAGAGTTGTCAGTGGTGATCTTCCTGTTCTGGAGAGGAACTGGTGTGCTACAAGAGATCAGTGCTCATGGTTAGGATGCCTGGGGTCCTCGTTCATGGTTGGATGCAGTGATTATGTAGAGAGCATAATTTTTAGGGTAAATGTCATATGAAGATTACCCTTAAGTAACCCCCTAGTTAAGCAGTGAGGGAAGATGTGATAAAAATAGAAAAAAAATTAATAAAATAAAACAAATGTTCTGCTTTTAACTATCAAGTAGTCTTTGCAATGAAATATCCCCAAGGTGGGGTGAACCTGTATGAAAAACAAGTTAGATTTGCTCGTGGAGATGTATACTGGCAAACAAAGGAAAAAAAAAAGGTAAAATTATTTAAATATCAGTCTGACATTTCCTTAATGGCGTGGATGCCTGAAGAAAGCATCCCAATCACTTACTGCTCAAAATTAGTTAAATTAGTGATACCAGTAAACAGTAAATCTGATTTATACCAGCAAAAAGTAAATAAAAAGTAAATGTGATTTTTCATTTGGTGTATATATATTAGCGAATGGAGCATCAGCTGTCGGATCGTTGTTCCCTTTTGCAGAGGTGGCGGCGGTCCCGCAGCCGGGCGCGGCAGTCCCGCAGCCGGGAGCGGCAGTCCCGCAGCCGGGCGCTGGAGGGCTCCGCAGACTGACGGCTGCCGAGCGGCTCCGAGGGAATTGCTGCATTGTACCTGCGCAGGCTTTAATGCATGCCGGGCCATTTGGCTATTTGCCATAATTGGCTTTCCATTCCCTTGATTGGAATCATAGATAAAAATTTGCTAATCCACTTTCTTTGCTGAAAGTATTAGAAAAGTAATCCATCTTTTAAAAATGCTCGAACAAAATCATGTGGTATAAAGAGTACTTTATGGAATAATGAGATTAATGAGAACTGTAAGGCATATACAATTTAAAACGTTTTTCTATGGGTTTAAGGGGAAAAATGCAATCTGGGCACTATAAAGCCATAAGTACTTCCTTTTTTTATGCACTGCCTTTTAAATGTGCATTACATGCTATGCTTTTGTCTACATGATAAAATGTAAGTATGTATTCAGGGAGAAGGATCTGCTATTTACTTGTAATTTTACAAACGTTTGAAAATACCTGATTCAAACTTCTTGGCTGTGTTTTTTTCCTCCCTCTCCCCTCTTCTGCCCATAGGGCATCAGAGCACGGATTTTGGAAACCCTTGTAATGCTCATTCTTCTTGCACTGCTTATCCTTGGAATCGTATGGGTGGCTTCAGCACTCATAGACAATGATGCTGCCAGTATGGAGTCTTTATATGGTATGGGATGCAAAAGAACCTTCTCCCAGTTTCATTGTAAATACAGAAAAGCAGCTTTCCAGTTAAATGTATTTCTAGTACATGCTATGTGAGTATTGCACAGGTTGTGAAGAACGTGTCTGAATTAAGTCAGCACCATTTTGATGTTAAATTCTGTGACATAAGTAGCCTCTTGGTAATTAGCTAAAGCTAAGCTCAATGTTTTCTTTACAGACCTCTGGGAATTCTACCTCCCATATTTATATTCCTGTATATCACTGATGGGATGCTTGTTACTGCTGTGTAAGTATTTTCTTCATTATTCCAAAAGATGAATGATAGTATGGTGGGGTTTTTTTTGTGTATTGTATTCAGTCTTTTTATGGTTAAAGGAAACTTTTTGATTATGAAAGTTGAGTGGGATTTTCTTTTTCTGATTAAATTTAGGTATGAATTTGTTAGGTTTGGGTTCTGAAATTTAAATAAATGGTACCTTAGATTTTCAATTTTTGAGAAACTTTCCAACTCACCCAGTTTTGACTAATAACTTGTTAAAGTAGGTAGTTGAAAAAATAGGGACTCCATTCTGCAAAGAAAAGCACAATTTTAAAATGGAATATCTGCAGGAGGCCGGTAGTATGGTGAGAAAATTATTTTGGAACATTTTGTCCTATATTCAGTAAATTACCATTCTTTCTTTTGTAATTGAAAATGTTGCAGTATAGGCAGGAATTGGAAGGCAGTACAGCCAGCTTTCATAACCACACAGCTGGTCTCTGGCCAGTCTGCAGGTCAGTTACACAATTGCACTTGAAGCAAATGCAGTAAAAACCCAACCTTACACCAACTGCTCCTAACCAGAATTCAGTCATCCATGTTCAGGGGAATAAGAAACATGGAAAGTTCCAAATCCCACTTATAGTCTCAGCCCCCTCCTTGAAAAATTACTAGGAAATGGCTGAGAGGGACAGAACATCTCCCTTTCTAGATTACTGTGGTTTCATCCCTTCTCCAAGCTTGACAGGTTCAAAGCTTGCATGGGGCTGTCGCTGTGGAGAAAGGGTGGGGACTGATAATTTTGCTATCCTTTAAACAGATCTATGAAAGAGACCTCAGTGAGTCTCCTTGGGTTCTCTGTATGTGCAGGTCCTCAGATCCCCTTTGGAGGAAAGTGGGAGGATTAACAGTGGGCTTCTCAACATCCTGTGCAGGCTGTTCCAAGGTGGCATTCACAGAGGTGCTGAACACTTTAATGGGAAGTTGGTTTACAAAACTTCAAATCTGCCCTGCAGTTTGCTTCAGCAGAGCTGAAAACTCAGCCTCTCTTCTGGGGCTGTTGTAAACCAGTTCACTGGAATTGTGACTAAATCCCAGGTTTGGGAAATGTGTAACTTAAGCAAATCACTGAGGTGAAGGTGTCCAAGCTGTTAGATCTGTGTAGCTAAAAGGGCAGTAGGGGCAGCTTCACCTGGTTTAATTGCTGAAGCAGTGTTTGGATCCTCCAAGCTGTGTAGCTGAAAGGGCAGTAGGGGCAGCTGCTGGGTAGAGCTTTAGATCTTCAGCTGGTTTAATTGCTGAAGCAGTGTTTGGATAAAGCCTATTGCAGTGATGGGAGCATCACTTTGTTTGTCTTTTCTCCTTTTCCTGCAGGGTTCTTCTGGACTAAAGGCAGACTAGCTTAAGTTAGATTTTTGAATACTCTTGTAGTTTTCCTGTAATATGCAGTAGCTATAGTGAAACACTAGTTAATAAAAAGAAATGCAATCCTCATAATAAAATCTTGTCTTATTTTTTTTTGGCAACAGTGTTTTATTATAATGGAAACTATAGATGTACATGCTCATCCATATTGTTATAAATTCTTTCATCTCTGACATATTTCAGTATTTGAAGGCTGTTTTCTCTAAACTGTTTTTTTTCTACTGACAATTTTCTATTATCATGGTTGAACCTTTCTCCCAGGAAGCATCATTCCTGAAAACCATCACAGGCTAGGATCAGAAAGGGCCCGTTGTTATTTCACAGAAAATAATCTAAAATCTGGTAGCTGAGTCTACTCTCAGTGGAAGTTGAAGGATAACTTTGAGACGAAAGCAGCTTCAGGATCTCTTGGCCTTGCAGCTACACCTGTGCTAAAAGATGAAACGTGCCTGAGATGTTCTCCAGTGCTGTGGCCACCCAGTGTCACTCCATCCAGGATATTGCAGTTGGCAGGTGTCTGTGCAGCTTTGCCTCGTGACAATGGTCCCTGGGCTGCCTGAACTCCAGATAAGAACTGAGAATCATTTGGGATAGTGTTAACTGGCCCAGGGCAAATCATGCCAGGAATAGTTCTTACCATTTACTGGTGTAAGCAATCCAATCTTAAAGCCCAGGAATGCATTCTGGCACTGCTGAATTTACTAGTGAAGACATAGCCTCTGGTGCCACATGCTTTGAATAAATAATTAATTAGTTGAGCAAGTTTAAGGTCTCTGATCATGTGGTGTTCCTTGTTGACAAAAAAAAGTCACAGTTAAGGTCTTGGAGAGGAGAGAAGCTTGTCTTGTTCAAAATTCATGTGATTGCAGTGGGCTTGAAAGTTCATGTTGGAGCTTTAAGCTCTTGCAGTTCTTTTCAAAACCAAAAAATGGTTATATGTGGAATACACACTAAGCATCCAAATAAAAACACCTGGTCTTTGTCTTACAAATGACTGTTGTGCATGCTCTTCCTTCCCCCACAGTGTGCACGCCAGTGGGGCTCTCGCGGATGTTTACAGTCATGGGGCAGTTGCTGGTGAAGCCGACAGTAAGTGCTCCACATTTCCATGCTCCACAGTTCTGTCCTGCTGTGCTACATGTTTCTGTCCTGTCCTACCTGTGAGAAGGTGGAATGGTGGGTACTTTCTTCTAGAATACTTACATTTCTACAGAACTCTTCAGTTCATCAGCGCTTCTATAACCACTATTTATGTACTCATTTCACATTTCTACAAAAGCCTGTTTTTTTCCCCAAATTTTTTCAGACTTCCTCTGATTTTTCAGTTTATGTCAATGCTACTAATATTATTTATTACCAGTATTTCCTGCTTTGTTTTACCAGTGCTTGAAAAGCGTGGGCATATTCTGAGTTCAGTAGCAAAGAATACAAGAGCAGACAAAGTCTGGATAACAGGAAGGGTACCTGGGGTACACAGTTGGGTGAAATGTGGGTAGTTGTCATCTTTAAGAGCTTGTTACACACAGATGCTCTTTGGTTCATGCTCTGAATGCTGTGAGGGAAGGGAGTTTGTACCATATACAAGTGCTCTTGTGACTTGGGTGTCACATGTCCTGGTTTGTATTTACTAATATTTGGGTGCACTTAGATCTTGCTTTCCTTTTCATTAGTTCAGCCCTGGAAATACAAAGAAAATACCTGCTATTTTTATCTTTAGTCTCAAAGCACCTGGTAGTTGAGATACACTGACTTCATTTATTTGGTTTAAGCTTGCAATAAAAATTTATATTTGCAGGAAATATTTGCTTGTGTGAAAAGTTGCTTTTTAATGCAATTTTCCAAAATCTTTAGTTATTTTTGTTTAAATTGGGTGTGAAGGGTGATACAATTTGAATGTAGGTCAGACATACTGTTCTGTCTCTTTAGATTGAAACTGAACATAAAAACCTTAACTTGAAATAGAAACTTTAAAGTAACTTTTCTTACAGTAAAGACACAATTGTGTGACAGAATGGAATAATCTGTGAAATTCTTACTTGTGTCACTATTGTAAAGTTGTAGATTGTATATTTAAAGTACAGGTTACAGGAGCAAAGTGCATCTGATTATGTAAGTTCAGTCAGGAAAACAAGTGTCTCTGATAGTGAGTTCATGTTTCTGTTTGCAAACACAGATCCTGGAAGACCTAGATGAGCAGATGTATATCATCACTTTAGAGGAAGAAGCAATTCAGAGGAAGCTTAATGGTATGTATGTTATACCTGTAATGGTACTGCTTCATATGCAGTATTTAGAGTGGTTCTGGTCTGGAGTCTCACTGTTGTGCAGCCTCTTCTGTCAAAACAGAAAATTCCACCATCTTAGCCTGTAAGAAGTGTTAGAGCTGTACATTTCCTCACTGGGTTTTCCAAGATTGACTCTTATGCATTGCTTTGGTTTTGTTTTTGAATTGTTCATCAGCTCTCCATTGTGGGAATGTTCTGAGCCTGAGAGAGCAATTGAGTAGTTGTCCTGACCCACCACCCTTACTGCAGAATACCTTGGATTGGTAAATGGCTCTATTGCAGCCTTGTTTGAAGGACAATGAACTGACATTAGCAAGAGGTTTGACTTCCTGCAATATGAGTTTTTGGTTTTGATTTGAAGGATTTTTTTTTGTGTTTTAATTGATTGTTATTTAAAATCTTAGGTAGTAATCCATTAACAATCAGAGCACTCCTTTGCTTGACTTCCTACAATATGAGTTTGTTTTTAATTTGAAGGATTTTTTTGTGTTTTAGTTGATTATTATTTAAAATCTTAGGTAGTAATCCATTAAAAATCAGAGCACTCCTTTGTATTCTAGGAGTTATTTGTTGAATTTAATAAATAAAAACATCCTATTAATAAGTAATGAAAATTAATAATTACAAGAATGTTTTTAGACTTACTGTGTTTAGTCTTAAAATTTTGCATTTCTTGATAAGGTGTTTCTGTTATGAAGTGTTTAAAAAACATGAAGTATGAAGTAAAGTATGAAGTTTTGACTTAGAATAGAGAGGAGTGTTGCAACAGGCAGGCTCCACTTATGGAAAATTTATTGGTTCTGTAAACCTGGAAATCATGTTGTACAAATCTTCTGACTTGCTTTTAACTGCATGGATAAGCCATCCATCCATAATTTATGCAATTACTGCAGTTTCAAAAACCAAGGAATTTTCATGTAAGGTAGCACAACAATGTATGTGTCACGATGACTTATTTTAGCCTTAATTTTTAAAATTTCCTGTATTTTCTCTCCTGCTTTTCAGTCTTCTGTCATATATCTTAAGCTTTCCTTCTCTGAGGTCTTATGAAGTCTCCTTTCGAACTTGCTTGGTCAGGGGAAGTACCTTTGATAGCAGAGATCATGGTGGTCATTTTTATTCCACTGCTTAAAATTTGTGGAGGAGTAGTGACTTCTTTGTGCTGAAATCGGCCATCACTTCAGTTTAAAAGTAATATTCAGCTTTTCAGATGTTTATAGTGGCACACTGTGTGTGCATTTACACACAGGCACACAAAAAGGTGCAGGCAGTGAATGTCTTTGTAGCTGTGATGGGGTAATGATAATAATTCTGTGTGTTTGATGTTAGCTGGGAACTCTGAAATATTTGTTATTGAATATTTTATGTTGTCATGGTGATTCTGCTTGTGTACAACACAGAGCAATGACCCAGTAGTTATTCAGGAATCTGTTGGAAGTAGTGTTCAGATGGGGAATGTGATTATTTAGGTGATGCTTGGCTGCTCTTTTTCTTGCACAAGTCCCTCAACAGTTGCTTATATTGCAGTTTGATGTCACTTGTGGAGTGGACCTAGGCTGTTGTAGGTGCCCACTAACTGGGTATGGATTTGGGTGTGTGCCAGGAGCTCCCCTAACACCAGCCAAGAGACTGGATTTGCTTTCAGCACATGGTTTGGTATTCAGTGAGAAGTGGAACTGCAGCCCACCCATACTCCATGGAGCACTCACCAGCCTGCTCTTGAGCAGTGAAAGACGTGGGGCTTACATGTCCTGAGACAGGAGAGGAACTGCATTCCCTCTGTTTCCAGTGCTGAGGGAATGGCATTGACACCCCTAAAAGGAATGCTTGAAAACCCCTAAGTTGGTGTACAGAGAAAATTAATGCAGTTAAGCTGAAAGTTAATGAAAATCTAAACTTGCATATAGCATGTAGTTGAGGCAAGATGTTATATGTGTAGGAAGATAGTTTGCAGGATTTTTGTAGTAGTTACTTCAGTAAATTTAAGCACAGTTTTCACTATGGTGAACATGGAAACCTTCATCTTCTCTTCCAGAAGTCTTTCTAATACATAAAAATTATGCCAGAATTATTGACATCATTATTGCCAGAACTACGAAAGGTCATGCTTGCCATGATTATTGCATTGTAAAAACTGTGTATAAATGGGGGTGGTGCTAATTACATCAGTGAATGTCGTGCTGTGATGTTTAGAGGCCATAATCTGTGTTTTAGCACCCAGATTGTCACTTTGTTGCTGTATCAGTGGATATATTCAGCTGCACACTTCCTCTGCCATGGCTGTTGCAACTCTTCCACCATGTTGGTGGTGGAAATCCAATGGTGTTTAAGTAACACTACTGGGCAGGTTTCCAGTAAAGTCCTCTGAAATTATATACTTTATTTATATGTATAACTAAAGAGTTGAATTTTGATTAAAATGAAGAGGACCAGAGCAGAGGCTTAAGTGATACTTGATGATTGTAAAGCTTTTCATATTTGAAAATAAATCTATCTGTGAAACTGTAGATCTTCTTTGTGGGAACTAATTTTCTTCCTCCTCAGGTGTCTGCAGTGTCTAACTGAAAATCAGAGGAGGAGGGAGGGGAAAGTTTGATTGTGTTATCTACCCTAGTATTTTTATCTATTGAAGAGATACTGGGCTTTGGGAAAATGTTTGTTTCCAGTGTATTATGTTTCAGTACCCACATCACTCCTACAGTTGAAAAATAAAGCTGGGACTTTTTTATATTAAAAGAAAAAAGTTGCCTTCAGCTATTAGTTTTCCTGAATCCAAAGAGACGGGTGGGGTAGGATCAAAAATACTTACTTGATCAAAGTTATTGGCTCTGAAGGTATCCTTACCTATGTAAGAAAGATGAAAGGTGTTGTTTTTATTGCACACTAGTAACAGTGTAATTTTGAACTAATTGGTGGTGAACTGCCAATCACCTTGGGGGAATGCAAATAGATACTCTTACAATTTCCTTTGAGGTACTGAAATCTTATGTCGGGGCTGGAAGAAAAACAGAATAATACCGTTAAATTGACCTTAAATGAGCTGCTTTGTGGCTTTCTTGGAGAATCCCTTCTAACTTTTCATTGCTAGTCCAAACAAGTCTCGTCTACCAATTTGATTTATTGGCTAGACAGCGCTGACATTGAACTTTGTGCGTGTTTGAAATAAAGCTAATGTTAGAGAGCTTTTAAGAATTTAGCTGCATCCTTTCCAAATACTCTTTTGACTGATCTGAAACCTTGCCTCTCTCATAAAATATCCTTTTGTGTAGCAACCTGTTGTTTGCAACTATTTTTAAGGAGGAAACACAACACCACTTAGATATGATTCAGAATTTCTACTGACCTGTGTCTTAGGGACCTTGTGTGATGATGCTGATTTGTTGGATAGACTCCCATGAAATCAGTGTTTTGAACTCTGGATTTTTATGTTGAGAAGAGAAAAAAACATATATATTGAACTGAGCTTTTCCTCAGAGACTCCTAAATCAGTTACAGCAAAGAAGACATCAGATGCTGACTTGAATTTTCCTTCTTGTTCAGCTGCTTCCATAAAAGTTCTTTTCCCACTGAGCTCTATTGCTATCCTTTTTCCCACCTAATGGTAATTAGTCATTCCATAAAACAGATGTTTTAGACTTTTCTGAGGGAAAATGCATCATCACAAAAGCTTATTTTTATAGTGATGATTAGCTTGGGCTTTTAAAAGACTTTTTTTCTGAAAACCTGTGTATTATGATTAATTTTTTTAAAAACACTGAGAAGTGGAACTGGCACTAAAAGTACTAAGATGTTCTAATGAACAGTATCTTTAGCTCTTACTGGATATCCTGAGTCCAATTTATATATTTGAAGCCCTATCAAATATATATTATCCCATACTCATTATTTCACTGATATCCAAGATAAATGTTTAGACAAAGCACAGAAATTGTCTTATATGCAAAAATGTTTGAAAGAAACATTCCGTTAATTAGATTAAACATTTAAAATTTTAAACAGTTGGATGTTTCATTGATGATTTGACTGCATTAAACAAATCAGTATTTAATAGTCTGCAATAAAAAGAGTCACCTTTTTTCTTGGATTGTGGTTGCTGGATGGATCAGGAGACAACAGAAAATAAGGAAATAATGAGGCTGGACTACAAAGCAGTGTTGCTGTGCCAGTAACTTAAGTGCTGTTTGGATTTTGTAGGCAAGTGATCAAGATATCAGATGAAAGCCTGGACAAGAATATTAATCTCATATAAATTTATTAGAGACTGTTTAAAAAAAGTCCATGGAGCATGGTGCTCTTACAGGTTAGCCCAGGGCCAAAGGTGGGGCTGAGGGTAGGGGATGGCCAGCAGGTGAAAGGTGTGAATGTAAATCAGCAAAACAACAAGAGAGGACTTTGGGTGTAAGACCTTGAACTGTCACTGCCATGGTGTGTTATTGCAGAGTGAAACTGGCCTGGAATAGACGGGGAAAATATAAACCCTTAACTTATTTTCAAGTGAGATTGCCCAACTTTCATCCCTTTTCTTTTATCCCACTTCTGAACAAAGGTGAGTGGAGAGTTTCTAATTTATCCAGGCAGAATATTTCCAGGTTGTGATTGCAGAGAGTGAAAGCTAAAGCAGAAATAATGGCATGGGAACTGAAACAACAGATTTCTAGTCAGCACTGCAGAGCTGTGTCAGTGCCTGAGCACTGTGCAGGGTTTGTAGAGGAACTGGCATCAAGGAGGGAAACCCCAGCGTGCTTGCACTGGAAAAGAGGAGTGGTTGGAAGAGAATGGAAGGTTGAAGAAGAAAAGGATGGAGAGAGGAACTGGGCTGGGTTTCCTCGAGGCTGCATAAAGATAGGAAGAAAAGTTGATGAGCAACTTTTAGGCAGAAAATTAGTAGGAGGAAAGGGATTAATATTATGGTTGTCAGGGCTAAGCTGATGTACAGGAGAAGGTATGAGGAGTTGCACAACAGTGACACATGTATGTTGTAAACTGAAAAGTGGAAGAGGTTGGTCTCATGGGTGGTTGTGGGAATATCTCATTGTGGGATGGAGTAGGCAAACTGGTATGAGCAGAAGATGCATCAGCAAGCAGGCCAGCAGTGTGGAAACAGCTTGCTGAGGAAAGGGAGGGAGGGGCAGAAGCTGAATCTGGAGCTCTGGCCACTTAAAAGGCAAAGGCCCACTTTTGCTAAATAATAATTCTCCTGAAGGGCATCCAGGGATTCTTTACATCTTGGTATCAGAATCATATAGGGATTAAAGGATGAGGCATTTGAGACATCCTGTCTGTCACACTATGGCTGGTCACTGGACTTGTGTGAAAGTTCAGCATCAGCAAACAGGCTGGGATCACAGGAGATGATGCTGAAACCTCTGTGCTGAACTCTTCTGGGTAGATTCTGCTGTTTTTGAAAAGTATTTGAAGAGTCTCCAAGAAACACCCGCAGTTTAAAGTCACAAGTGCTTAATTGTATGCTTCCTAAATCCAAATTGTCACTGTGTGCCTTGCAGTCACATCCAAAAGAAAATCATGTCTTTTGTTTTCAAAGGTGTATCTTCCACAGTGGAATACCAGACAGTAGAGTTGGAACGTGAGCTTGAAAAAGTGAGAAGCAGGAAAACAAATCTAGGTAATGAACTTTTTAGTGTTTCATGTAGATTGTAGTTTACTAAATGACCTTCAGGTGCTACGTTTACTTTGGAGCAGTTGCTTGACTGATTCCAGTTTGTTCCTAACTAAATTTGTGCATTTGCAAATACAATACATTAAATCATTGCACCCCTCCAACAACAACAACAAATTAAGGGAAGAGTCTGATTTGGATCTTATTTTTAGCATTCTTTTAGAGGAATTGTAACACTTCTTTGCATGGAGCTTTTAATTTATAATACGCTTATGAATATTTGGGCTAATTGATGCTGTTACTTTCCTTTTTGTGTTTGAATTAGTTCTGTAAAATTCAAACAGTCTTTTCTTTTCTTGCTGATGATGTCCAGTGAAGTTAGTTCTATCTTTCCTGCATTACAAGAGAAAAATACTATTTAAATATCTGAAATTCTGTTCTGTCCCTTTAGGTCATGCTAAAATATACATGTAAACAATGCATTTGTAAATTCAGCAGATTTTCAACTTTGTGGAACTGTTGTGTGCAAGGGGAAGAAAAAGGTTAAGGGAAAACATGCATCTAAGAAAAATCTGCTTGTCTCTGTCTCCCCAGCCTTTCTCTAGAGAGGTTTCATATTTTTGCCATTGCTTTGTAGATCTGTACAGGGTGGATGTTCTTATGAACTGGTTGATGTTTGTTCCACATCAGGATACTGTTGTTACTAATATTTATAGTGAGGTTATGGGTAGCTGAATAATTCTTCCTTGTTTTATTCTAAGGTGATCTATGGTATTATAGGCTTATGTTTTTTCTCTTCTGAACAGAACGGAGGAAAAAAGCTTCTGCTTGGGAAAGGAATTTAGTTTATCCAGCTGTCATGATATTGCTCCTGATTGAGACAGTAAGAATTTACTTTTTTTTTTCCCAGCAAAAAGTATGAAGAGTTCTTTGGTTATTTGAGGGAATAGTTTTAAATTTTTTGAATGAAGATTGTTTAAGCAACAATCTTGATATTCTTTTCTTGACTGTTTAACAAAAACTTGATATTATGGAGTTTGGTGAGGATAAATGAGGAATATTCAGCAACATTTTGCAATCTGAAGCTAATTTGACTTTCTACAATTTAGATTTTAAAAATGTGTAATACTTTTCAATAACAAGATTGTTTCTACTTGTTTGTAGTCCTTTTCAGTTCTTTTAGTCGCTCTCAACATTCTTTACCTGTTGGTTGATGAGACTGCAATGCCAAAGGGATCAGGGGTAAAGTAATCTTCTCTTATACTTTTTGTAATTTTAGTAAAGCTTTGGAGGCCTTGCAGAAGTGCAAGTGAGGGCTTTTGCTTTAATATCATGGAAACCATGAGCCTTGACCTTGACTTTGCTTCTAGGTTTCATTCCTGTGCCCACACAAACATTTATTACATGTCATGTTGTAGTGAGTGCTTACTAAAATAGTGCAGAAGCTTTATGTAGACACAGTGATGCCCTAAAGCAGATCAGTAATCTGGAGTTTGCAGTTCCCTTTGCAGTACATTTCACTACATTTCAAACTGCAGTTTGAAAGCTGCTGGTGCCATTGCATGGGGTGGGGAGGGAGTTGGAGGGTGGGACATCAGAACCCCCCTGAAACATTGAATTGAGAAAATGCTGTATTGCATATAAGATGTTACATGTTTTCTTCTTGGTAGAAGTTAACTTTATGAACTGTTGCATGTATGATATTGAATTGTGTAAAGTATCTTTTTCCTTGTAGGGACCTGGAATAGGAAATGCTTCCTTATCCACATTTGGCTTTGTGGGAGCAGCACTTGAAATCATTTTGATTTTGTATCCTTTCTGAAAGAATTCTGTCTGTTAAGAAGTATTCTGTGTAGTTTTCTGGGACACTGGTAATACACTAAGATGCTAGCCTGGAAAGAAGAAAGATAAGTCAGTCCTTCTCAAACACTTGTTTTTGTTTCTTTTTTCTTTAGTTCTTAAGACTTTTAGGAGAGTGCTGAGAACTTGAGTGAAACTTGCATTCCTTGGAGGTTCCTTTTTTCCTTGATTCTCACAGCTATCTTATGGTATCTTCTGTCGTCGGCTTCTACAGTCTTCGTTTTTTTGAGAATTTCACTCCCAGGAAGGATGACACAACTATGACAAAGGTAAGGTACAATCTGGGATGGGCATGGCCCCTCCTGTCTTTCTTGCCACCCAAGACAAACTGACTCTCTTAGTAATTGCCCTGAATGGCTCATTTGCAGTGATCAGTATTTGTTTGTAGGCTTCGTAAACACAAACTGGAAGATTGTCAAAATGCTGAATGAGTGGGAAAAAGGATGTGCTCTGTTTAGTTTGGATGGCATCCATTCACTTGTAAAAAGCCAGGAATGGCAGAGCTTGTTAACTGGCTATAGAAAAGCAAGTGAAAGAACTTCCTTCAAAGGAAACTTATTGCTAATGAGTAACTTCGATTGTGTTAACTGTACTTCAGGGAGCTTGTTTGAGATCTGAACAACGTGGATGCTAGAAGTAATACAGAGAAAGTAATTCAAATTTGAATAATGAAACTAAGACTGAGGACAGCTATTCAGCAACATTTTGCAATCTGAAGCTAATTTGACTTTCTCCAATTTAGCACTGGCTTTAGAATAACCAATGATGTTACCTAATTGGGAGGAACATGCCTAGGTTTTTGGCAAAGTATTCCTACAGCTGACATGGGGAAGTCATCAGTAACCAAGGAACAGATGTTGAACTTAATTTTTTTTTCAATATGTTTCATTGTTTGTTTTTTAATTTTTTTATTTAAGTAATGGATTAAGATACTTTTACTACAAATTGTTGGAAGTGAGAAAGGGGGTATGCACACAGAATAATTAGAGTAGTAGGTAGTAGAGAGTTGGAATGTTCTTAATATTTCGTATTGATTGTTTATGGTACACCAGTATAGTGTGGAAATAAATAGTGAATGTAGAAATGTCTATCTATTTCCAAGTTTTTATTTTTTTTCTTTTGGCTTCTGATGGAACTAGACCTGAAGAAAATGATCCCTTTTGAAAGAAAGTTTCAATTACGCTTTCTAAAGGCTTTACAAGAACAAGAGTAAAATCTAACAGCTGTGACTTTTTTCGTATTATTTAGAGTAGACAACAGGCATTGAATTGAAAGGAAGCTCTTTGTTGTAATTTTTTAAATAGTGCTAATCCTGCAAGCAGTTACATCCAAGGCTTAAGCTGATGTATCAGTCATCCATTCTAAGCCCATGGAATTGTTCTTTTATAAAACATTCACAGGAAGTAAGTAAGCAGTTGATGCTTTGCAACATGATTGTTTTGAATGATTTTGAATCTGAGCATACATAACACTTTGACTAAAAGCATGTGAATACATATTTGATTTTTTTTCTTGGATCACCTTTGTCTTGTGTAACACCATGTGGAGAGGAGTGACAAGAGAAGTCAGCAAGACTAACAATATCTTACTGTAAATTGCTTTAGGTTCAATTTGAAGAATGTGCCTTTTAAGAATTACTCTTTTTCATCTTGACTGCTGTTTTTCTTTGTGTTCCCTTCAGCAATCTCATTTATCATTTAAATGCTGTTTGTCATTTTCAAACAGATAATTGGAAACTGTGTCTCAATCTTGGTGCTGAGCTCTGCTTTGCCAGTGATGTCGAGGACCCTGGGTAAGTGAAATGGAAGTAACATCATAATAAAGGATGTTTAATTGAATTAAAAAAAAATACAAGAAAAAAGAAGAGCCTGTTGCTGTATTTTTCATTGTAGTTATGTAATTTGCCATCACTTTTATGTATCTGTGGCCTTCATTTCTACACAAACATGAAATGTTGAACATACGTCTATGTACATGAACTGCAGAACATGCTTTGTGAAAAGAAAAAGATGCTAAGCATTTTTTAGAGAATATATTATTTTAAGAAGGTCAGATTTGAGACTTCTTAAAACAGGAGATTGTGAGATGAAAAGATAGGAAAACTGATTGTCCGGAGCAGTCTGAAATAGTTTCATGTTCACTGTGAAATTAGTGCATAGTTCCTGTCTAGAAATACATTTGGAATTTGGTGTCTGAAATTTGAGGTAACACTGAGTACAAATGGCTTTTTAAAAACAGTTAATGACTCTTCATTGATTAAGTTTTTTAATCAGCAGTGATACCAGGCTACCTTCATTTCCCCTACAATAATAAGCTTGTATTTTTTAACTTAATTTTTTAAATTTAACAATCTGAGTCTACCATAGCAGAACTGAAGAACTCTTGATTTTATTGCTAAGGATTGGCAGTAGCATTTGAAGTAGTTAAGCTGTTTTAACCAGTTGGAAAGACATGTTGTATCTTCACTTTAATTAGGTAATCTTCAGCTTGAATTCTTGAAGTTAAATTGCAAGGCTATTACATGTTTTAAGTAGTGCAGAATCCTTGTAACTAATGTGAATTTCATTGGGAACATTAAATAGAACAAAACAAAAATCTTCACCTCAGGCTGTACAAGTCTTAAGTACAAGCTTAGAAGTTTGAGCTCAGGCCCACAGACCAGCAGTGTGTGCTCAGTAGTTCTCTAGCTGGTCTTCATTTCAGGGAGAATACTCTTGAATCAAGAGTAGTTCATGGTTTTCCAGTATTATACTGTATATTCTCATGCTATGTGTATCTACAGAGGGGATGTTTTAATAAATTATAATTTCTGTAGCAAATGAAAATCCCTCTGTAATGCATTTTGGAGTGTTGAATCTTAAAATAAGCATTCTAGGACTTGCTTAAAAAATTTGTAGTAAAACTCCACAAAAATGCAAAAGGGTGATTCAGGTACTTAAAGCAGTGCAGTTTTAAAATATAACCAGTATGATAAAGGTCTAAGAAGTGAAATAGTTCTAGCATGTAGAGCCAGATGTTACATAGAAAAATCACTGTTTTAGAATAGAATTGTAACATAAGTTTGTGTCCACAAAGTTACTGCATTCAAGACTTGTTTAAAAGAAAATAAAATTAATTGTTAATGATCCATGAGATTACCAGTTGATAATAACCAGATTCTGTGGGAGTCAGTGTACACGCTGGCTCCATTGTTGTCTCATAGGAAACAGATTAATGGTAAAACTCACTTAAAAACCAGACTAACAAGTGAAATTCCTGAATAGTTTGCCATAGAGATAAATAAAAGAAGAAAAAAGATGGAACAATTAACACACAGCTAACAAATGCACAGTCACAGCTGTCCAAACAGGATTAATAGAGTGTATTAGAGTACAGTGAGTCATGTGGTGCTTTTGCAGAAATATCAATGTGTGTTGCACTACATGCCACCACCCTGTGGCACTGAATAGATGAAAAGAAATAAATATGTTAAGCAGATTCATAGTCTTTTCACTTTATTTAAAAACTGAGATTCTAGGCTATGCAGAAAGACTAGACTTTATCCTTATGGGAAAGGTGAAAAAGCAAAAGTTATCTAATACATGCACTGACCTTTTTCAACTTTTAAAAATGGAAATAGTTTCTTCTTACATGTTTCATAGCATTCTAATTAGATATGTAGGTGGTGGATATGTCTAATCTGTCATTCTTCTAGAACTCCAGGAAAGTTTTAAACTAAAATAAGTTAACTCACGTTTCCCCAGAGCTTTTCAGCCTTTTAGTAGCCCTTCAGAAATGTTTCCCACCAACACCACGTTGCTAATCACAGAGAAACAAATTCGAAACAAGGCACTTAAAGTCAAGAATACAAACAAAACAAAGGAAATTGAACTTTCTAGTATATGGAAGTTTTCCTAGAATTCTACACTTGAGTATTATGTACAAGTAAATGGGGATTTTAAATTTGTGTGTCCTGTCTAAAACCTACCATTTGTTTTTTTTTTGTTTAATAGTTTATTTGGTAAAATTTCATCAGCTTTTGTGTGTATATATTTGTGCCACTAGATATGCAAGTTTTTCTTCAATTACTGAAGAGTTATTAAAAGTCTTATTTTTTTTTTTCTCTGAGGGCTGAGTAGGTATTGCTTCTGTAAGAAAGACATCAAAACCTTTTTTAACCTTTTTCTCCCATGAGTTTACAGACTGTTACTCTGTCACTTTTCTGATGAGCAGTGACTTTTTCTGTTTGTAAGAAGAAATTGAATGTAATTTATGGACAATAATTTTCCCACCTACTTTAACAGAAGTGTCAGGGTTCATTTCTCTTGGTCCTGGTAACACTGCTCCATGGCTCACTGTTCTGGACCTCTATGTGTCAAGGAATGTTATTCCTTTTCCAGGGAATTCCAGTGCTCTGCCTATTTTGTTCCTTTTCCTTTAAAGTTTTGGGAGCTTGTACATTCAAACCTGACTTTCTTAATTTTCACGTGGCTCCACAATCTGGCTAAAACACTGCTGCTTTGGAAATGCTAAGGACACTGTTTGCCTTCAAGTGGGAAAGCAGCTCTGTGTTTATTGTCCTTCATCTCTTTACCAGTTAATTCAGTCAGTTTTTTCTTTCTGTGCTAAGACCTTCTGTGCTTTTTTTAGTATTTCTCCCTCCCTCTTCTGCTGTTTTGATCAGTGGTTGTTTTGTTTCATCCTTTGAAACTTCTTCTTTTAATATTAGTATTTTTTCCTTAGATACCAAATTCAATTTCCATTTTAATTTAAATGACTGATGCTGAGTATAAGTGTGTATATCTTTTAACATTGTGATAACTGGTTTGCAAGTCTTGGAAATGCAGATACAGTGAGATTAAGTGTCAGGTTTACTCTTGCAAGAAGTGCAGCTGACTCTTAATTCTGTCTCTTCATTTATTATCACTTTGGAAGTCAGTTTTTAAAATCCTCACTTTCAAATTAAGATGGTAGAAAATCAGGAGCTTTCAGGAGTTTCAGAGCCAGGGCTACTTTGTGATTGCCTCATTTGCTCCTGCCATTTTAGTTTTGGGACAGGGTCACCTTCCTGCTTCTGCACTTTTGTGAGGGCACAATTCCCTCTGACATCATCTGTGCCAGAGGTTTTTTGGGAATACGGCATTTGCATCCTAGACAATGATTATGTGGCTGGTGTCTCAATGTTCTGCTCTGTGTTCAGTGCAGTTTTCCATGACACCTGACAAAGGAACAACCTGTGGTTCTTCCCCTTCTGCCTTCTACCATGGGCCCTGCACCTTGTAGATGTTTCCATGTTTCAGAAAAGTGTTGTTAATTTAATTAGTGATTGACAGGCCTTTGATCAGCACAAAGCCCAAGTGTCAGGGTTGGGGGTGCCCTGTGAGGGAGACCTGTCAGCACCATCTTTCAGCCTCTTTTCCTGCTGTGCAAATGCTGCATGGCTGTAGTGGTGGGTGTATTCAGGAGAAAAACTGCAGTTGGAAGGATGTCTTTAAACTTTGGTTTCAAAAGCAGTGCTCTGGAAGAGCACTTTAAAGGCTTAATGTTTACCATAAGATGTTGTGGCTCTCATAGAAGGGCTGTTTGCTACCTGTGTTTGTTAAAATAAAAGCTCAAGGTGCATTTCATTCTTTTCTGGAATCATTAAAGATTTTATAGAAACTGAGGTTTCAAGCAGTTTTTATACTAAAGCTGATTTTTTCCTAGTTACATTTACTAATGTTATAAAAAGAGTTCTTAGCTAGAGTAGACAATTAATTTCAGCTCCCATTATTCAAGCATTTTACTACGAAATTTAAAAAACATTTTGATAAAGGTGTCTTATAGTTTTATAGTGACCAACAAACATTGTCTTGTGTGTTTAACCATGTGTCTTCTGGTGTGCTGTCTATAAGAATTTTGCATCCAAATTTAAATCTAATATAAGGAAATTTTTGTGTTTATTAAAAAAAGTTATGATTATTTTGATCTAAATTTTGCATGCCATTAACAGGAATCACCAGATTTGATCTCCTTGGAGACTTTGGAAGGTTCAACTGGCTGGGGAACTTCTATATTGTGTTGTCTTACAACTTGCTCTTTGCTATCATGACAACATTGTGTCTGGTCAGAAAGTTCACGTCTGCTGTGAGAGAAGAGCTCCTGAAGGCATTAGGTAACACAGCCCTGAAAATTCACTGTGTGCTTGACCACTCCCTTTCTCCACCTTTATGTGCTACTGCTAAACTTCTGTCACATCTCACAGAATACTTTTTGTTTGGCGGAAATTTCTCGAAGTTGAAGTATGAGGATAAATAATGTGTTGTTTTTTGGAGTCCAGAATTAAGGTACAAAGTTGATTTCAATGATATGCCTGTGGTGCTTATTGGTTTCCAGTTGGATTTTCAGTCTTTGGAGAGCACAGAGGCAATTATCCCACATTAAAACTTCAGCTTGTGTATGGGTTGTCTTTCTCTTTTGTCTAAAGCAACTTATTAGTTCCCTATAAATAGTTAGCAGAGATCTCAATTTTGTTGTCATACTTTTTTTGAACATATAATCAGAAAATCATTGTACAGAATGTACAGAACCTTAGTAACTGGCTGAGTAAAACCTGTACCTGATATAATAAAAAATTTGATCAAATCTTGCATTGATATTTCTTGACCATAGAAGAAAGGATTGAAACACATTTGATACTAAGAGCATAAAATGTTTTTTAGTTATTTTTGTCACTGCATCTTATATTTACTAATTTACAAAGCTCCTCTCTCTTTAGATTCCTAGAGTAGTATTTGCTTAAATTGAGAGGATTAATGGTGAAACTTTAGTGTTTCTTTGTAACTGAGGATTCAGTTTGCGTCATCTAGAAGTTACTCATGTTAGTTTTCACTGCTTTGGGTTGTGGTGCTGAAATAAAATCCATGCACTTCCCAGAGTGCTGGTGGAAGATTAATTTAAAATTATTGTAAAATAATTAGAAATAAAGTGTTTAATAAAAAATTACAGATGTTGAAGGCAGATTAAGAAACATGAAAAGGCAGGCATAGTAGGGTAATGGTCACAAGTAGAGAGTCACAAACCCTGAAATTTGCAGGTTCCTGGCACAGACTGGGTTTGTTTTCAGTGCTGCACATCACAAACAGTGTCTGTTAAAAACTATCCCATGGAATTCAAAGAATGAGAACCAAAATTGGCCTATGACCAAAAAATTAACATATTAGGACTACAAATAAAGCATTATTAAGGAGATTTTTGTTTTTTAGTAGTCCTGTCAATTTTGGAATTCCAATTCCAACAATGCAGGAAGTTTTAACTGTGTTTTACTGAAGTGCCATGATGTACATTCAGTGTGGTCTACACAAAATGAATAAGAAACTCTTCCCATATCCTTTGCTTTAGAGACTTAATAGAGGCTTCAGAGAGAAACTGTACCAAGCAAGGAAGGACTGGCATCATGCCTCTTTTGAACAAGATATGGCTAAATTTGCCATCTTTCCTCATCTCCCTCCCTCCCAAAAAGAGTAATTTAACTGCTTGCTTGGGGCAGGATGTGAGACTTGAATTAGCCTTCACCATAGAGAATTGTGCAATAAGAACAAATGGCTGGAAACAGAGATAAATCAGTAATAAGTGTAGTCCTAAAAATTAGTAATTAGACATATAAATAGTTTAGAGAAGTGATCTGGTCATCACCAATGACATTAAGATGAGCAGTGGGTGATTTACAAAAAGATGTTATCTTTTAAAAGAAACAATTAATTGTTAATTATCAAGTTAATAAAATTAATAATTTTAGGTAATAATTTAGGTCTTTTTAGGTGACAGGGTAAATTATTGCAAGTCTTTCTTGGTTCTTAACATTTGAGTCTGTGATTGAAGCAGTGGAAAGTTAGGGTTCCCTGTCTTCCATGCTTGTCCACTGTTATGGATTTTCTCACTTAAACAACACTGAGGGAATTTCCCAGAAGCAATTCTTACAGGAGGTAGAACATCAGTTCTGGTCTTCAGCAAGTGTCAGGTCTGCAATCGTGATGTGAGATTTAGGTTGTCTCTGTTCTTTTGAATACCTGTGTGCATGAAATAAGGGGCAATCTAAGTTTTTCCTTATTCTGTAATGTTTTGCAGGATTAGATAAACTTCATCTATCAAACAATCCAAGAGACTCGGAGACAAAGCCTTCTGCAAATGGCCATCAGAAAACACTGTGATAACAATCACCTTCAATCAGCAGAGCTGAAAACATCAACCTCATGGCATTCCTGTCATCTCATCAGCATTTTTATATTGCTTTAGTTGTTAGCTTGGGTCGAGCCTTGTCTCACTTGGATGCTGTGTGCTTCTGAGGAAGTTAGGTGTGTCAGATTCTTCTCTTTCCAGTGAACTTTTGGTCTGCTTGTTTGTTTCCCAGGAAGTTAATGCAGGAGGTGCCTTGAAGACTGGAAGCTGAAGAGAAAAATGCATTCCTTTTTATTTGTTGAAAGTCTCACATCTTTATTTTTAAACTTGCTACCATTTGAATGCACAGTACCTCCTGTGTTATACAAACACAGCTATAAAGAATAACTTTGGGACTTGATTAAAGAAAAAAAAAAGAAAAAGAGGAAAACACACTTGAAGGCCAATATGACCCTTACTGGAAATGTAAAGTAGCTGGAAGAGATACCTGTGACAGGAGATAAACAGCTCTACTGAGAGCGAGTTAAAAAGGAGAGGAGAGATCACAGTGCTGGATGCAGTAGGCTGTGTCATGGTGCTTTCTCAGAAGGCCAGTGTTTTCAGCTCTCTGTCCTTAGCTCCAAATGCCAGCTTGCTTTACTGGTGGTCAAACGATGTCTTATGGAAGTCCAAGATGAAGATTAACTTCAGTGTTAAATCTGAGCCTAGAATGCTTTGTAAAAAGCTGTGTAGACCCACTGTCACAGCTCTCACAGTTCTGTGAGCTGTTGTGCCCTGGAGGTCCCTTCCCCTCCCCAAGACCCCCTGTGAAATTTTTGATGAACTACTGTGTGTAAGCAGTACCTGGAATCAATGCAAGGAGCACAGGCCTGGGAGGCTGCAGTTGCAGTTTTCTACAGTCTTTAATTTGAAGTAAATTTCTCTGAATTTATACTTCAGTTACCAGGATTTCTGTTCAGTGGCATAACCCAGTTATCTGTCACTAGCCTGTTTTTTAATGTACACATGAACATGTACATAGGCCTATATGTGTAGATATCATAAATTAAATTCTAAGGTTCTAGAGATGACAGTAGGTGGTTTGGTAAGTAAAACGTGTGCAGTCTTGGTAGTTTGAATTTCTGAAGTGTTTAACTGCTCAGAAGCCTTAGATTCAAGATGGCATCAGTGGGTGATAATGTCCTTTCTTGTAGCATTTCCTTGGAACCTTAGGAGTCCTTTAAGCAGTTCATAGTAAAGAAAAATACCAAATAAGTATTCAAAATCTGGTTGCACTTTTGTCCTGCTCAGCCACAAGTAATCTCCAAACAGACTGGAATGGGGATTCCTTCAGTGAGTGCCCCTTCGTGCAGGGAGGTGAAAAATTTTCCTGTTCATTTCCTAGTTCTGTAAAACGAGTCTGCCTGTCTGTGGTTTGAGGTCTTCTGTTAATTAGTGACAACTTGGTTTCCAGTGTGGTTCCAAAATAAGGTAAACCTTGTGTCAGAAACTCTTTGGCTGTTCTCTTGAGATGACTGCTCTGGGCCGTAGACCTTACTGCTGTGTGTGTGAATGTCTGCTTGTTTTTTTCCCCTAAAGTGCTTCAAAAATCAAGCTCCAGTACAAATGAGGATTTATCTTTTTTGCAGCTGCCTTTTCTGACTTGAACTGGGGCGTAATGTAAATATTTCTGTAGTAAATATGATGCTAGAGAATGACTTCTTTTGTGTGTGTGTGATTAGTATAAATTCAAGGTTTATTGAACTGACTATTGATGTGTTGTATCAAGTCTTGGAAGAAAAAGTAAAATTACTTGATTTCACTAAGATTTACAAGCATCTTTTCTCTTGTTTAGTGCTGACACTTTAGTGAGAAATCTTTATCTGAGTCAAAGTTTTGCCACCAATAACAGAGAGCTATAAGTAAAAGTTGTTCTAAAATGAGTTTATATTTAAAATATTAGGAGATATATTATTAGGGGCATCAGTCAGGTATTCTCAGAGCTTGTAGCCTTATGTATTGATATCATAGTTAAAACCTGCTGAAATATGTCCACTTTTTCATGCAAGTCATTGTATGACCAAAATTTGTCCTCATGTCTTAATGGGGCTGGTGAACTGTGGTGTGTGAGGCCAGTTAGCTGTATAGAGATATTTCTGTTACAATGCTAAGGCAGTTAATACACTCTGAAGAAATTAATATTAGGAATAAACCTAGGAGTATGAACCAGCTTAGGTCTTGCTCTTCATGCCTTTGGAGAGATGTTTGTCATGGCATCAGTGACCCAAGAACACAGAAAAAGGTGGATTATAGTGTGTGTGTGGCTTCTGCTAGTGAGTTGGGCAATTACTTCAACTGAGCAGGGGCAGTTCCTGCTGAGAAGCACCCAAGCTTCAGGCAAGACTTTAAAACTCTTTTTCAAAACAAATGTTAGGGCCTCGACTGTCCCCACCCCTTCTGCTGGATTCTGCAGGCAGATCTGTGGGTCAAGGCTATGTTAGGGAAGACTTTACACTGGACTCTCTGGGATGGTTGAGGTGCTGTGTGGTTTCAAAGATGGATGAGAAATTCAGAACTACCCTGTGCAACTACTGACAGTGTTTTGTTTTAAAATCAACTGCTGATATTGTGACACTGTCTACATTAAAATATGCCTTTTGCCTTGAAAATGACGTGCTTATGCAAAGCTGTGTCACTGCATGCAAGACACAGGTCACTTTTCACAGAATCATACGGTCACTTAAGTACAAGCAACTGGTAATTCATTAATGGATATTGACAATACATTCCTAGTATTTTGACTCATGTAGAGTCAGGTGGTCTATACCTTCAAGGTATATACAGCTGATCTTAGTAACATTAACATCTGCCTCACTTCTTATGAGGCAAAAAGCACATCAATGCTTCCATCTTCAACTAGATACCACACAAGACCAAAAAAGTAGATGTAAACTGAGTGTTTTAAGTTAGCTGTTTTTTGGCTTTTTTCCTGTGTTGGTAGCACAATATTAAATGCAATTGCAGAACTGTAATATTTGTGGGGTTTCTAAGCATAAAGCACACATGCTTATCACTTTAAGCTAAAAAATAGTAGAATTGGTTACTGTACAAGTAACAGTTTTGCATTCATAGGGAGCTTTGTTTACTGTCTGTAATGTGCTGTTTATCTTTGGCCCTGTTCCTCTGATACCTTTGACCCTGTTGGCTGTTCTGGTGTCATAGAAATTAAAAGATTTGAGTTGTTGTTTTCCTTGTCCTGTTCCCAATTACCACCTGGAGCACCAGTGGAGGGAGGGCTGGGCTGCCCACGCAGGCAGGGAGGAGCTCCTGCAGCAGGTGCTTGGCAGGAGGGACATGGGAGCAGATTCTGGGGATTTGTCCTCCCCCGTGTCACCAGGAGTGCCAAGGGGCTGCAGCCCCTGTCCATCCCACCATGTCTCTCATGAGTCTGTGCAGCAGCTGATGCTACTTGAGGTGCTCACATGTGCCCAGTGCTGTGTGCTGAAGACATGATGGCCCTTTTCCTGAAGAATAAAGAATTTACAGTCTAAATTAGAAAGGAAGAAACAGAAAGCAGTTGGCCTCTTCCTGCATGTGGCTTTCCTTGAGTTCTTGAAGCATGCTCTGGGTTATTTCCCATCTCTTCTTCCTCTCCCAGAAGTGGATGGTGGTGTATGTACAGCAACTGAGCCTTACCCTTAGTGGACTGGCATCTAAAATTTTGAAATAATAAATATAGGAAAACAGCTAAATTCTGTTTAACATAGTCTCTGATCTTGAAAATAGCCTTTTTTTAAAAATCAGGGTGAAATAATCTAAGCAGAGACAGGACATAAGGCCACATAATAACCTCTTCAAAAAGAAATGTACTTAGTTTTGTTTTAAAAAGTGTTGATGTGAACTGTGAAACTTTAATGAAATAAGATTCCCTACCTCCTAGTATTAGGATTTTTGTTGTTATTTTGTGCTGAGTTGAGACAATATTGCCTACACTGACTTCCGTCCCCAACCCATGAACACTGAATTTGCTGTTGGTAAGCTGGCAGGTTATTTCAGTCACATTGTCAGATTTGAACTTTACAAAGATGCTACTTTTGAATTTATCCCATTCAGCAAGAACAAACTAAGGCCACAGCCACCAGCCACACAGTGATACAACTTCTGCCCCCTTTTTTGCCTTGCCCCCTTGAGACAGACAAAACATGAAATAGCAGAAGAATCCAGATAGATTTGATTTATGCACTGTAAAAAACCATACCAGAAGGCAGCTTTAATGGAAGGCTTTTGCAATATTTCACAATTGAAGCACCTAGAACTCTTCTTTCAAAGAGATAGAAATGTGTATCATTAGTATACAAATGTCAATTGTATGTTCTCTAAATAAGCCAGTAATTCACTGACACTGAAAAAAATTTCATCACTTCTTAAAATCTCTTGTGATTCACAGTGAAGCAGTATATTGGACTTTTATAGAAGCCTGTGAACTTCTTGGCAGCAGAAACCTTAGGATGCTTGCTAGTTTTGTGTTAACTACCATATTTTATCAGTAACTTTTTCATTTCATTTATCGCTCAAGAAGTTTTTTTAATATACATAGCATTAAATATTTTAACAAATACAGAAGGTGACTCCAAACAGTCAGAGAGATAGTGTGAGAAATATCCTGTAAATGCTGATATTCTTGACATACTGAATTCCAAGCTGTTTAGAAACTATCTGTATGAAGGCCTTACATCAAAGAGAAATTAAGAAATCCTAATTCTTAAAGACTTTTAGGTGTCTGAATGTTGATATGTACCTACTTGAGCACTTTGGAATGCTGCTTCTAGATGTTTGTTGATCACTAACCCCAAGGCTGCTGTTGCTTTTCTCCCCAAACCCATTACATTAAATTTTATAGTCGGCATCACTGGATGAAGCTCCTTTCCTGAACAGGGCTTTATTTTGCATTCCTCCTCTATTCCCTGCTTCCATAGATAGCAGCTATTGAAGTATTGGGGCACCTGCTTTGATTTGAATGTATTTCTTTTCCCACGTTGCTTGTAAAGAGATATTCCCTAGTTAGAACTCTTCTTCCACTACAGAAATGTTCACATTTATGAATTTGTTTTTTACTATTATATTTCATTTAAACAATCTTGTCACTAGAGAGTCCTCTAACAAATTACCAAGAGCTCGTCAGTTTGAATAATGAGTGAGAGGGTTTAGTCATTGCATATATTTGTGCTTTTAGCTTCCAGTGGTATGGGGGTACAGCCCCACTTCTCAGTGAGGGGAACGAGCTGGTTTGGCCACTGGGAGCCCCTGGGGTGGCTGTCACTGCAGGGGGGGTCCTGTTGTGGACCTGCTCTGCAGCTCATCTGCTGTGGGATGTACAGAGAGGTGGACACACTCTGTCAGCTCTCAGCAGGGTCAGGCTGTGTGAGGTGCTCAGGTGAGGCTCTTCACCTGTGCTCTGGATTTTTGTATTTCATGTATTTGAGCATATTTTGGGCCTTCTCTCCCCATGTGAATCGATCATTCAGAGAAGTGGCATGGTAGTGATACCTGTGCAGTGGATTCAGTGGGTGTGTGTATATGTTTAAAAAGAAAATTAGCTGGTGCATGATTTCCCGTTTCCCCCTAACCATGAGGTTTTTTAAGTCCGGACCAAAATTCTTAAGAGTCACAAAATCTCTGTGAGTACCTTCTCCTCCTTGGCTTTACGTAACAAAAAAATTTCAGTTACTTTTACTTTCTTAAAGGTAGCTTTCAAAGTATTTTTGCCTTGTTTGGTATGATTTCTGTTGCTTTAAGGAGAAGTGGATAGAAAAAGAAGATACATTTAGGTAATGGGGTTTGAAATCTTGGGGGGTGTGTGTGTGAAACACGCATACACAACAAAAGGGTGTATTTCCTTTCCTGTGGGCTTTGGGACCCAACCCCACATTACCTAAATAGAAATCATGTGTTGCTCTTGTCTCCACTAAATTTTGTCTTTAAAATTCCCAGTGAGGAGACTGAGGATGTTCTCAGGGTGCTGCTGCTGGCACCCTGATCCCTGTCACACGGAATTGGCTTCATGTGTGTTTATAGGTGGCATGACCATAAAAACACAATTCTGAGCTGGCCTGTCCATGGCTGCTGGGCTGGGCTGTGATGGTGGCAGCAGTCCCTTCACTGTGCACATTCAGGATGTCACTGCAGTGTTACTGGTTAATGTCACAGTTTACAAAAACAGTTATAAATTGCGCACAATTTCTAAACTGTGTGAGGCTGGGAGGTGCTGGATGGAACTGGTGGTCCCCTCTTGGTCTGATTTGTGCTTTAGGTTTTGTAAACTCCACAGTCTTGAGCAGCTGACTTTTCTTTCACATGGATGTATCTGACCAAGGTATAACACAGCTGAAAAATTGTGCTTTGAGTGTTACTTTAATCCCAACAGTTTTTGGTGTAGATACCTTCTCCCCATCAGCCCTTCCTGGTTCATTTTAGGTTATCCAGAATTATGATTTATAATGTTCTCTGTTGTGGGTATTTTGTTGTGTTACAAAAAAAAAAAAAAAAATCTGCTGCCTTAGCTAGGCTGATTATTTTGTTTTGTTTTGTGGAAAGCAGTGGTAATGTTTTTTTCCTTTGTTTGAGATGTTTCACTGAATGTTTTGTAGGAAAATTTTTTTTACTGTGTTTTCAATAAAGGTAAAGTGTGATTTATAGCAGAGTTTTGTCCCTTTTTATTATAAGCAATGAAAAAAATAATCTGTGTCATTCTAAGTTATTCTGTCTGTAATTGGCATGAACAGTTGTGTTCCTCTCTCTTCCTCCTTCTCTCTATTTAACCTGCTTTTGTGATTTTCAAGTGATTGCATTTCTGAAATAGCTGAGGTAGGGAATGTGATGGAGATTCCTCTACACTGAGGCATCACAGCCCTGTGTTTTAAGACAGGTGTGCAATTAATTGGAATGCTGTGCTTTAGGCCAGTGGGGATTGTTTATAGCAAAGTATGCTCATTATGTAATTTGTAAGTAATTTGCAATTCCTTAATAGTTTGACTGAAGGGCAATTTTTGCATGTTAAACCCCTGACCACCCTGCTTCCTAAACTGTAACTTAAACAGCTTCAGACTTTAAATTCCATTTCACAGGAGAGTCTAGGCTGTTTTTAAAGTTCAAGGATCACGTGTCTGGAAGGGACCTGGAGATGTTTGATCCATCCAGCTGCACAGGATCAAACATAGCTGCATTATTCCTGGTATTTAACCAGCCTGGCAGGGGCTATCTGTGATGGGATTGCTGTGCTGTCTCTAGGCAGTATATTCCAGTGTTTGATTGTCCAAGATTTCATAAATGTCAAATGTGAAGGGCCCTTGCCATGCTTTAAGCTTTAATTTTGTTCTCAAACATCCGTAGTAAAACAAGTCTTTCTGCTTGCACCAGCTTTTTCCACACCTGAAAGGTTACATTTCCCTTTCTTTTCCACACCTGAAAGGTTACATTTCCCTTTATTTTCTATATGAGAGTGACCCCCAATTCCCTCAACGGTTTTATGGAGGCCTCTTATCCTTTTTGCTCTCTGTGGGGATGCTTATGTATTTTTGGAAATGCAGAACTCAAGTGGACACAGAAACCTCCAAGCCTGAGCTCTGGCACTACATCATGTCTTCAGTACTTTTTTCTTTTTATCTTTTTCTGGCCTGGTTGGTTTGGGTTTTTTGACAGACAGTGGGAGAAGAGGCATCTCAGGTGTTGTCCTCAGTATAGACTTTTATGCCTTTTTACTGCCTTGAATATGTTTCTGCATATTGCAGTTTCTGCATATTGCATATAGGCCTGGGCAATCTCATCTTCTTATCTGAAGATGCTCCCACAGGGGTCAACAAAATAAATACATAAAAGGATTGCTTTTCTTGAATTTAATCATCCTGAGTGCAATCCCAGCTCACTGTGGCCACCTCCTCCTAATGTACCCCTGTGTCTGAAAGCTCTGCAGGGATTCACACAAGTCTGTGTGTCTCTGTCCATAAATGTGTGCAGCAGTTTTAAGGGACATTTTGACATCTATATCATGACCAGGCAATGTGAGCCTTTTTTTCCATGCATTTCCTGTGAGAGAAAACCTGCTAGGAAAGGGAGGAGCCATTTTTTCAGGGAGTGTGGGTTGGGCAGTGGGAGGTGAGGTGGCAGAAGGGTTGACCTCAAGGTCAGACAGTCTCATGGGACCTGAACACTTTCCTATTGTTTCATTTCAATTTTTTTTTCTTTCGCTAACTTTTCCCTACCAGCACATCTGCTCCCTTCCAGCTGTGAAAGTGGCCCTTCTTAGCATATGTCAGAGTATTTAAAATGAACTTTTCTAGACCCAAAGAATCAAGAGCCCAAATATCACAAAAGTCCCTCAGAAATTATGTGGAAAACTCACTCAGAATTTATATAAACTTTGAATTTCCTTAATTTTCTGCTAACATGACCTCATATTCTTTTTATTCTGTGAGCTGATTCACTGCTAACTGAGAACTGTTATGACTATGTTCCCAAATGATCCCTTACACAACAGGATGTTGAAAGGATGTATCCATTTGTCAGCAGAAATCAGACACATTGCCATGTTAGTAAATGCTGATTTAGCAATGTAGCATAAAAGAAAGAAGTTCCCTGAGATTCTTTGTGTTGTGGATGTAATTAAATCCCAAAGTGATGGGAAAAGCAGCAGCCTGTACTCTGTGACAGAATTCTGTGTAGCACAAAGCAGGTGGGGAACCTGGTTCTTCCTCTCACAACTGCTCAGTGTCAAGAAAGAAACATCCCAGTCTCGTTCACACTGACCTTCAGAGGTATGTGTAACACAAAAAATAAACAAACAACAGTCCCACCACGGGCCCCCTCCAATATTTACACTTTGTGGTCTCCAAACAATCCCGACTGGTGACACCATGTGCTCTCTGAATGACTCGTGAAACTCTGCTTATATCTTTAATATTTTAATGTGACTGTGTGTTTAATCAATAGCAACCCTGGTAAATTGTACCTGACTTTTGCTAGCTGGGCTCTAGAACTGAATCTCTGCATTGCAATTTTAACTGCCCTTACTGATTTCATATTCAAATCTGGCTTCAGGAAGAGCAAGGTAAGATTACACCCAACTCTTCCATAATTTGGGGTTCCTGTTCACCATAGATTACACCCAGCTCTTACATCATTTGGGGTTTCTGTTCACCATCAGGTAAAGGTTGATCCGTTTGAAAACACTTCTGGCCCTGAGTTATGCTTGGTCTTCATTTCTAGTGGTATCAGACTTGACCAGACCTGACCTGGTGTTGTGAGCAAGTGAGCATCCTTGAGATGGAACTGTAAAAAAAAAACCAAACAAAAAACCCCAAAAAACAAAACAAACCAACAAAAAACCCCCCAAAATGAGGAAAATTCTTTTCCTGCATGAGACAGGGATCTATGAAGTTCCTCTGCTGCTAAGGTACTATCTTTGAGCTACTCCTGGATTTTCTGTAGTATGATCTGACCCAACTCATATCCATCAATCAGTAAATAAAGTCTAAAGTCTTTCTTTTTGGGAAGAAAAAGAAATGTAACTGAAATTTAACCCAGAATTTTTTCTAACTGCTAAATCAGCATGAACTATCAATGTGAAAAGAAAAATTATTCAAAATGCTTATTCCCTGTTATTGTAATGTTCTAGGATGTAAAAATGAAATTTTAATGCGTAATACCAAATAATTTTTTTTTTATTCTAGAATAACTGAAACAGAGCAATTGAATTTATTTCTGCAAACACCATACCCTGTCCATTTTATGTCTGAGACTTCCTAAAGCTTGGACAGAGTGGCATAGAGTGAGTGTGCAATCCCCCATCGGTATGCAAAGCTGCATCAGTCATCTGTACAGCAGCACAGGACTATGATAAAATGAAACCATGAAACAAAGCACCGAGGTGAACTTTGTCCATGGGGAAGCCTTTTTAAGTGATCCAATGTCAGCAAATTGCTTACTAATGTGTTGACTTATGGCAACCCTCAAAAGTAAAATGAAAAGGCTGGAATTTACAGCATATCAATGAATCAGTTGATAAGCTTTTACTGGTTTAATATCCTCCTAGTTTTGCTGCTTGGAGCCACTTCAGGTTAGCAACAGAATGTTTACCATCTCTGTGTGATAAAGGAAGTCAAACGACTAAACAAATTCCAGGACCATTATACTGTTTGGTGAGATTTAAATTAAAATCGTTGGGAGAAATCATGTGGAAGGGGGGAGGAAGAAACTAAAGTCAACTGCATCATTTCACAATGACTTACCTCGCTTCCTAAACAATGGCAGGATTTTTAGCAGAGCAGGAGATAATGTAATGCATTAGAAAAGATTTAATTGCACCAATAAAAGGCTACACCACAATTAAATGACATACAGAGTGACGTTTATAGGTAGGATCAAAGAAATTCACTACCTAACATGCTGAAGCAACACCCTGCTCTCTGTGTATAGGAGTGCTAAAAAGTAGCCTACTTTGGTTTCAGTGACCTTTCTTATCTCCTTTGATCTAGATTATTAAAAATTTTAATGCCAGGTGTAATAAGGGCTACCGTAGCACCTTGGAACAAGCAATATGTGTCTTTCCTAGTACTAATATTTCAGACCTTGTTTTTTATTTTGTGATATTTATTTAAGCATATGAAACTTGACATTTAACCTTTGTGATCCTTCCAAAGGCGGCAGGGTTATTAAAAAAAAATTTTTTTTTTTTTTTGCTATTGTGATGCCATTTGATTATGCTAATGTTTAGGGAGTGACATTTTAAAAGCACTGTTCAATTTTGAGAAGCAAATTCTATTTTAGAAGGGCTTTTTAGTGTCTGGAAATGGATGGCTCCTTGTGAAAACTTTAATGTTTTAATTAACCAATTTTAAACTTAATTGTAAAGTGTAAGAGTGAACAGCAGGAAAACTCATCTACAGTTCCCACTTGAAAGCCACTAAGAAAAATAAGTGCAGGTCCTTTAATCATGACTTGCACTGAATTTATTCAAACCTGGCTAATCATTACGAGAAGACTTCATAAATTTATTCTTAATAGAAGGTGGAAAAGCAGTGCCCATTTTGTTCCCTGTAAAATCCTGAAGTGTTTCATGTGAGAAGGAGTTCCTACTGCTGGGGCCTCTCTGTGGACACTGCTGGATGAAGATCTTCCCGTGGCTTTTGGAATGTGTGCTTCCAGCCAGGTGCCAAGGGCAGGGTCCCCAAAGCCCAGGGCAGGCTTCTTGGAGGGTTGCTGCTGTAGCCAACTGAAGGTTAGTGAGAGAAATTTTGACCAGTGGTGTTCAGCTGCAGCTTTCAGCACATTTAGGAGCCTTCTCCAGCTTTCTGTTGCTTGTTTCATGGCTTTGCATGGGGTCCTGGGCCCATGGGAAACTGGCATCCTTCTTGGGAAAGAAGCCTACAGCTGCTTCCCCAGACTCTCCCACAGCAGGAAAACCCAAGGGCTGTCTGATCCAGTCATGCTTCTTGAGGACAGTCACAAGCCACTGACAGGTTAATTTATTCCAAACTTAAGGGCTTGAGCACTTTTGAGTGGAACATCAGCATTCTTCAGTCACCTTCATATTCTTTTTCTCTGCTGCAGGGAAGGATTTTGTGTTGGTTCTGAAGAGGATGGAATGAACTGACTGACAAAACAACTGGGTGGCTCCAGTGCTGCCTGTTTAGTGTGAATGAGGAGGAGTGAGTGAAAAGGGAGGGAGCTGATATTCGGAGTTCTGCTTTAAGGAAGCTGAATCGCCCCAAGGAAAAAGACCAAGGAAGCAAATACAGCAAAATGTATTTTCTTAATTTTCTAAATCTTAATTTTCTAACCTTAGGAGGCACTGCTTCCCTTAAGTCTTTAGACTTTTTTCTAACAATATATCCCCTCCAGGAAACTTAAATTCTCTAAGACACAATTCTGCTCAAGAAGAGGAAACTTGAATTTTTATAATTTAATTATTTATGTGAAACAATGATTTATTACATTTTTTTTTAACTTTAGCTTTTCTAGTGCATGCATTCTGTCTAGTTTTTTACTAAAAGTGTAATGCATTTGGAACATTATTAAGAAATAAATATTGCCTGGTGACACACCTGTAGCAGAAGTAAGGCTTACCTAATTAATTCAATTTAACTAAGCATGTCCCATCATGTATTACTCTGGTCTGATACTGCTCTTTTCTATACATAGGACAACTTTTTACCTGTAAATTTTTCAAAGGTTTTCAGGCATCACTGAAAATAATTACAGTTACAATATATTTGATCTTGTTGGTACAGATAAAACAGGCTAGATTACAGAATGTAAAAACAATTAATTAATCAATCAATGAACACTCTACAACACGAGAGTTTTTAAAATTAAAGTGTTAAGAGAATTTTGTAAGTCTCCACATATTCACATGAAATTTCATGGATTAAATTATTTCAGGTTAGTATACTCCTGTATAGCTCAGTTACAAGCTATATTTTCCCATATGCTTTAAAAAAAGGTTATAAAAAAGAATAAAGTGCTTCATCATAAAATAGCTTTAAATTATATTTCTTACCATAAAAATCTGGAATCAAAATTACTTTTCAAGATGATTACACTTAATTCATTAAGATATTCACTTAGGTAGTTTAATTAAAAGACTCATGTATTATGTGCTTGAATAGTTATAGAAAAATGTACTCCCTTAATGGACTACATGGGAACATGAATGCAGCACCTGTTTTTTCAAAGGAAAGAAAACAACCCCAGAACCAAACCTGACTTTAAAGCATTCTAACAGCTGAAAAGGAAAAAAATGCTGACAAGAAAAATTCTGAAAGGTCATCAGTTTCCTTCTGTGATTACTGCACTCTTTTGAGTGAAAACAAAATTACTTTGTGAAATTGTGAATTTTGTGTTAACAACACATGGGGTGGCAGAAAGCAAGAAATGGCAACAGCTACTGGCTGGAGGAAAAATTCTAAAGCAAACATTTAAAATGAAATCTCATTTTCTCCCCTTTCCCAACAGAGACATTATGTTCCAAGAGGTGATGCACATCAAATGCAGCGTTTCTCACATACAATAAAAAGAGAAAGTAAGGCAACAGACTACAAGAAAACTTCATCTTTATTTGACCTAGATTCCCACCAAACGCTGATGATCTCTGTCCTGACAAAAGATACAGAGTTGGGCAAAAAAAGCAGTTTGCTCTTAGAGGAAGGGGAAACTGGGGAAGGAGAGAAGCCCAGAAGAAGCAGAGAGCACTCGAGCTGGCAAGCACAGGAGGATTAATGGCCAGCAGCCAGCTGGAGGGAGAGTTTCAGATACAGTGGCTTTTTCCTTCAGGGAGGAAAGCTAAGGAAACACTGAGGACAAAAAGAATTCCAGAGGCATTTGCCTTTTTGTGCCAAATCTGAAGTAACCTTTTTAATGAGTGCTGTCTTTTGCTCCTTCTTGTGAAGTTTCAGACTTTCAGGGTTGCCAGAAATTGGCAGATCTTTCCAGACCTCTCCCACCTGTCTGTGGACAGTTGTTCACCTCCAGATAATGTTGATGTAAAAAGAAGTAACAGCCCTGTATCTAAGGTTATTCAAAGACTTTGATTCACAACACACACTTGGCTGTGAAAAGTCTTCTAAAAAACTTTAAAAGGGGAAGAGGCAGAAAAACTACCCTAAAATGCACTGTGGAAAGGAACTTTTATGCAACTGGGATAATTCCTCTAATTACCATCATCACCTCTCTGAAGCAGCTCTCTGTTCCATCACTCATTTGTCTCTTTTGCTTAATATTTTCAAGATGATGGATTGGAGAATGTAATAAAGCAGGATGTATTTATGCCCATGCTACACAGGGCATTGAGCAAGCCATCAAGGTAAAATGCAGGCATTTCATCAAATAACCTGAGGAAGTGACTGTCTGGCCTTGGGTGTACACCTGCTTTGTTTCCCAAATAGAAATACCTGTTGTACTCATCTGAAATTAACAAAGCTTTTGAGAAGGCAAAAATATCTTGAATTGTACAAACAGCAAATGTTTCCCTGATGAATGAAGGCCAGAGTGATATCTAACAGGAGTTTATTTGAAGCAGAAAATACCTGCTTTGCAAGAACAGAAACAAAGGCTTCTCTACTGTTATAGCATCAGAAGTGCACAAATACTACCAATCTTCCTCTACCATGTCATGTTCAAAATAATATCAGAGTTGGCCACTGAGTTGGTCCACTTATTAAAAGCTAAATGGTGCCTGAAAGTAGAATCTTTCTTTCATTTCTTCCTCCAGCTGATGACTTTCAGCAGTACCTCAGGAAAATAAAATAAGTAAATACAATTGTGAGTCCACAAAATTATTCTATTTGTACTCTGGGTTGAATAGCAAATTCCTTCCTGAATATTGAACAACACTGTATGAATTTTCCATGCTGTTTGGATCTCTTTTTATCCATTCTTCAGCAGGAAATGACAAGGAAAGGTGCTCAGCTACACCTGATTTCTGAGCAACAATAACAACAAATCTCTGAATAAACCCCATTGGCCTTTACAGACAATGAATTTTCTTCTTATGAAATGCATTAATAATGCATTTGCTTAGAAATACTTTATACAGGTACTTCACATAAATCTATCATCAGACAAAGCACCATCAGGCAACACACTTCTTACTATTAAGTAGCTGAAGGAGTCACAAGAGAGCTGCGGAGGGGCTTCTGACAAGGGCAGGGGGAGATAGGACAAGGGGGAAATGGTTTCATACTCTAAGAGGGTAGGTTTGGATTAGATATTGGGAAGAAATTCTTCCCTGGCAGGGTGGTGAGGCCCTGGCACAGGTTGCCCAGAGAAGCTGTGGCTGCTCCATCCCTGGAAGTGTTCAAGGCCAGGTTGGATGGGGCTCTGGGCATTGAGGGGTAGTGGAAAGTGTCCCTGTCCATTTCTGGGAGTTGGAACTGTATGATCTTTAAGATCCCTTCCAACCTAAACCATTAATGGATAAGCTATTCTGTACTATCAGAACCTCTTTTACATAGAGGATTTTTTAATGTATATTTTTATTTGCTGAGTAATTTGAACTTGATACTTTTCAGAGCCTTTAAAATGGGATTAACTAAAGAATATAACAACACATAATTTCAAATAATCAGAATAAATAAAATCTCAGAATTGTGAAGTTTTCCTCAGCGTTGCAATTATGCATTCTTAAAAATAAAAATTAATCAAGTAGTATAATAAAGAACTGTGGCCACTGCTGCAAAATTCTGAAGCTTAATGAGGCTGTGACATAAGAAATAAAGAGCATGAAGAGACAAAGAGAGGCCAGTGACACTGTCAATGCTTCAGCTGAGCTTGCCCATCTCCAGCAATGAATGTGAGGTGCCTGCTGCATGTAGATGTGAAATCTCTGCTTTCTTAAAGAAGGAATCGGTGAAATTCCATATGAAATACTTACAGTGTTCCTGCCCACAAGTGCCAGAGAGAGTCCAGTGTCAGTGCCTCAGCAGTACAAACCAAGTGCTAGCAGAATATAGAAATTTATCATTGAGGACCAGAAGAAGCTGCTTGTTGATTGACCAGAATCCACGGAGAAATGTCCAAGGTTTGTGTAACAAGGCAGTAACTTGAGTCCACGATGAGTAACTTGAGTAACTTGAGTCCATGGTGAGGCCTTAACAGTGTTTGGCAAAATAAGAAAGGAAAAGTGACATACAATAATTACAATAATTGCAATAATTGCAATGCAAGCTGATGACACCTAGATGAGAGTTCCAATCCTAGATGGGAAGGAAAGGGTAAACTCTTTTTTTCATACCAGAATCTTTGCATAAATCTGACAGTACTATGCAGCACATATTTGTTCTGTGTAAGCTTTCAAAACCCCTATCAGGCAGTTTGTGCATCCAAACCCATTTCTCAAGAAGAAAAAAGGAATCCTAGCAAGTCATGGGGCTTTGGTGATCCCCTTGCTCAAGTATCTCATTATTCTAGGGCAGGATTTGTTAATTTTTGAGGCTAAAATTCTCCTTCTGAGCTCATCCATCTACAGATGTATATCGTTAATCATCTAAAATTTGCACAAACTGCCTTTGATCTTTTAAAAGAACTTTTGAGAGGTACTAAAGGATCTATCAGGAATACTGTCTTCCCTTTAGCTGAACTATCTGCCTAACCCATTTCCTTGTGAGGTCATGACATCCTTCAAACATAAATCAATTTGAATCCATGTTTTAGAGCAACAGCTTTGAGGTTTCAGCTGGGTCAGTTTATGCTTTTGGAAAAGTTTGGGGAGTGATTTCCCTGCCTGTGGTTTGGTTCACCTAGACCCCACCTGGTTACTTTTGTTATCTCATTTCGGTGGCCCAATCTATCAAGTGATGGCCTCTGTGATGAGAAAATCTGGGTACAGGGGGAGTGAACAAGAAAGCAAAGCAGTGACAGCATGAAAGACACTACCTCAACCTAAAAATGCCTGATCTTGGTTTCTTTCCAAGCACTGTGGTCAGAGGCTGTTTTAAGGAAGAAAATGAGATGGCTTTGTGGAAAGCCTTCTGTATACCCCCAGGGTAGGAGAAAATTTTTATTTAAAGCCTTCACAAATGGATTATTTGAACTGCCAAACAAGAAGAGATTGGCAGCAAAGCTGAACTTCTCAATAATACAACCAGATGGGACACTTGTGAGAGACAGGTTGTACAGCTGTTTAGAAGGAAAACTTTTCTACAGCAGTTTCTGAGGGAACACTGGCAGCAGGGCACCCAAGGAGGGACCTGTGGTCAAGGCAAAAAGCTCTGTGGAGATGTTCTCAAAGCAGCACTTTGAGAAAATACAAGCAATGAAAACCCACATTTATCACAGCTCAAATCCAAGAATTTTCATCCTTATGCATCAAGTTTAGAAGCACAACCCATTTACTGACACACCCATTTACAGCCAAGTTATTTATCCTAAAATAAACCCATCAAAGTGTCTACATACATTAACCTTTAAACTGTTAATGCTGGATTTTAGGAATCAAACCTCTATTGAAGGAAAAAAAGGAATGAAACTTTGATTAGCCATAAACTCAAGAATAAAATGTTTCATTACATTACATTTTCAAAGTTGTTTTGCATTTTTAATGTTTAAACCACACAATCCTTATTAAGGAATAGAAAGTTTGACAGATGCATTTTGAAATAATATGAGAATATTGGTGAAAATACTACAAAGTAAAACCCAGGAGCAACTGCAATTTCAAAACGTATTTCAGAACAGTGTTTTGAATCCCTTTCACAAATATTTGTGTGGAAAAATTCAGTCAGTGCTGTGATTTAAATAGAAAATACTTAGTCTTTCTAATAACAGCAGAAAACATGCTCACACCTGGGCTGCATTTTTTCACCTCAGCCTTTAGCTTCCATAATCACTCATTATTGATGTTCATTTTAACCCCAATACCTTTTCTGTTTTTCCCCCTGCTATCCTGTCTTCAAATGAAACAAAGAAAAAACCCTGCCCTCTTTAGAACTATAACCATGTAAATATAGTGCTAATTACTTCATCTTATTACCTTTGTCCTGTCACTGGTTGCACTCCCTTGTTGTGCACTATCTGAAGTTTCCCTCTGAATCTTCAGCTGATTCCAAAGGCAGATGTGCTTGGAGGGAGCATCCCTGCTTTAATGGGCTGCCTCTGGAGCTGGGACTACTGGGACAGTGCCTGTGGCAAAGCCAACCTGATATTCAGGGAGGCCAAAGGGAGTTTGCATGAAAAAGAATAAATAAATCCGTTATTAACGATGATGAAAGTTTATTGTACTCAAACCTGCAAATTTTGGAGCCAGAAGGTTCTTTAAGTAGTGCCCAATCAAGGCAGCAGAAAAGATGGACACAAGAAGATGTTCATGGCAAAAATAGTGTTGAAATCTTTAGAAAAGGGAAATACAGAGAGGCCAGAAGCACATTTGATCTCCTGGTCTGTTAAGATGCTCCCTGGCTTTGTTGTTCTAAGCAATATCGTCTGTCGCTGCTCCACAACTGTATTATTCTAAAGTGAATTTTCTCACCAGGCATCATTCCAAGCCCTCACATCTGTGACTTTTATCTTGCTGCATGTTTGCTTCTAAATTTGAAAAAGGTATTTAGCTACAGGTGTTAATTCTTCCCTGGTTTAGCCCCAGGACCATTGTATAAACAAACCTTTTTAACTTTGAGCAAAGCTGGGTAGATATTAACAAAGAATACATTTCATGCAGCATTATTAAATGTCTTTTTACAGAATAAGGAATAAACCAGACCATTTCAAATACGCTTTAAAAAAAGCTTAATGCTAGAACCTGTCCCCAAGTAAATACAGTAAGAAAATCACTGTTTTCTTAAAAAAAAAGTAAAGAAAGTTATGACATTCAATAGATATTAAAAATACTTATTGCTTCTAATGAAGAATATGTCTTCATCAAGATTCCCTAGCTTCACATTTTTACATTCATTGTCACCAGAATAATGTTTTAAATGCATTTCAGATATGAAAAGACACATTTAAGCCACTGATGGCAATCCCTTTTTTACCTAATGGCTTAAACTGCTGAATTTTGATAAATTTTAAAACAAGATACCATGCTGTTTAGCATTTAAACATCTTCTGAACAGAAAGCTTAGCTTCCACCTTTTAGTTTATTTTAAATAAAAACAAAAATTACAAATCAAAATAGTTTACCTAATGTCAGCTGTGGAGCACTGGGGTCAGGAAGATTCTCCTTTTTTCATCTTCTTTGCTTTTGTGCTTTTTTTTCTTAGTCTACTATCTACTATTATTCTGACTATTTCTTTTATTCATGGGATACGTAAAAGTTCTTGGTATTCCTTGTCCTTGACTTAGAAGAATATGTTAAAAGATCCTGCAGTTGATGATTGTGCATTATGTGATCCTGCAGAGCAAATGCAAAAACTGCTCTTGTCTCTTGTTTGGAGAAGCAGCACTAAAAAGCAAAAAAAAACCCCAACTAATCTTGAATAATTATTGTTATAAATTATTTAAAACCATACATATTATAGTAAATTAAATGAAATTCTGTACTTAGCCAATATTTTTGGATTGTTAAATGCTTTTATACACATACAACTCCAGTAGCTGAAGCCTAACATGCAATTACTGTAATATGAAATTTAAGATTGATGTTTCTGACACATCCTAGTTCTAACTTATAAAAAGTCAAATGAAATCTTTGATTTATCATTTACATTAAATAAAATAACAGTAATTTTAAAGTTTTAATTACCGAGCTCATAATTATTATATTCAAAAAACTCATTATGAACCATAAAAGTTTGGCATGCCCAAACACATTTTAATTTCATATAATTAAAAACAATCCCAAAGGCTAATTTTGCCTTCCAGAGCACTGAATATAAACAAGAATGTATTATTTTTATACAGGGAATGGGCTTATCTACCTGTTCCTCCATTTCTCCCCATGCTTGTTCTTTATTTTAGGAGATATGAAAGAGTACCCTGTAAAATAATGATGTTTCCTTGCTAATCTTTAGCTGATTTGACAAGAATTGTGTTCCTTTACAAGCAGATATTTTCAAGGACTTCAATAATATTTCTCAGGAGAAGGAGCCTCATCAATAGCAGCTAAGAAACCTACAATTTCTGTTTTCTCCTCAGGATGCCATGGGAAAGAGCTTCACATCTGTTCCAGGCACAGAGGCTAACTTTGGATCCATAAATCACCAAGTCTGTTTCCCTCCTGTCATTTTATTTCACCTGCAGTGTACAGGGAGTGGACTCCAAACAAATGGCAGGAATCACAAATTCCAGGCTGAGCTGATGAGAAGAGGTGGCTGCAGCAATAAACCCAGAACTGTTCTGCAAGACTGGCTTGTTGTGGAGAGGGAAGCCTGTGACACACAGGGCAGGGATGGTGCTGGCAGCCCCTTGGGGCTGAAGCTGCTGCTCCGTGGTCCCACCATCCCCACTGGAACAGCAGGGGACGTGACCTGGTACCAGGGAGGAGGCTGCAGGGCATGAAGTGACACCCCTCAGCTGTGACAAGCAGGAGCCACTGCTTACAGGGCTGCTCTGATTCACACCCACAGCAAGGTTTAGTTTGGAGGGGACCTTGAAGATCACCTTCTTCTACCCCCCCTGCCATGGCTGGGGACACTTTCTATTGTCCCAGGTTGCTCAGAGCTCCATCCCACCTGTCTTTGAACATTTCCAGGCATGGGGCAGCCACAGTTTCTCTAGGCAACCTGTGCAAGGCTCTCACCACCCTCCCAGGGAAGATTTTTTCCTAATATCTAAACTAAATCTACCCTTTTTAAGCCATTCCTCCTTGTCCTACACTCTGTTCCCTCTCCTGCTGTCCCTTAAGGCACTTGAAGCTGCTCTCAGGTCTCCCCAGAGCCTTCCCTTTTCTAGGCTGAACAGCTCCAGCTCCCAGCCTGTCTCCATAGCAGAGGTGCTCCAGCCTCCTGATCACTTCTGGGGCATCCTCTGGACTCACTCCTCCAGGTCCATGTCCCTGCTACACTTGGGACCCCAGATGTTTCAGTGTGTGGCTGTTCCACAGCCAGCCCTGCTCTTCTCCTCTCACAGCTCAAAATGGCATGACCAGAGAAGCTGTAGATGTGGCACTTGGGGATGTGGTTTTGTGGCAGTGGTTAATGGTTGGATTTATTTGTCTTACAGGTCTTTTCCAGCCATGATGATCCTTTTTAACCTCTTGTCCCTTTTCCCCTGCACAGCCCCAGCCCCACAGCCCTGCACAGGCTCTGAGGGAAGAGTGGCAGTGGGAGATGTTGCTCCTTTCTCCTCAGAGGGTGGAGTGCAGCCTCTCCTGGCTTGATACCAGCCACAGTCCATAGGGAAGCCCCTGGGAATGATTCCCTTCTGGTTTCCCCTACCACTTCTGTGTCCCACTGTCCCTTGGCAGTGTTTTCCCCTTTAGCTCTATGTCTGTGTGGTAATGTGGAGGTTAGTGAGCATTAGTTGTGTCCCTCCATGTGCATTTGGATTTGAAGGTTTTTTTGCTGTGTTTTTCAATTTTTACAATTTTTAATGTATATTTTTAACCTGGCAGGTAGTAAGGCAGGCCCTGTGATTATCATAGATTTATAGAATGGTTTAGGTTTGAAACAACTTGAAAAGTCCAGCCATTAACCCAGCACTGCCAATCTGCCACTAAACCGTGTCTCTAAATGCCACATCTACACAATTTTTAAACCACTTCCAGGGATGGTGATTCCCCCCCTTCCCTGGGGAACCTTACCCAATGCTTGACAACCCTTTCAGTAAAGATATTTCTCCTCATTTCCAATCTAAACCTCCCTTGACCCAACTTGAGGCTGTTTTCTCTCAACCATTCTGCTCGTTACCTGGAAGAGGGGACTGACCCTCACCTGGCTACAACCTCCTTTCAGGTACTTGTGGAGAGCAGCAAGGTCCCCCCTGTGCCTCCTCTTCTCCAGGCTCTCCATCCCCAGCTCCCTCAGCTGCTCCTCACAGGACTTGTGCTCCAGAGCCCTCACCAGCTTCCTCACTGCCATTTTGGGTGACCTCTGTCTTGGGCAACTCCGTAATAGAATCACCACTAAAAAAAAGAAATATTTGTAAAGAGGACAGATGAACAGTATCCATATGGATCAAAGAAAGATCTTTGTCCCCTAGTATCCTGTCTTTGTCTGAGGAAAGAAAATGGCTCAGGGACGTGGTAAGGATGTGTTTAGTACAGCATCAGCTCCTTCTGGGACTTCCCACATTTTAAAATGTGACTTCCTGAGCCAGTAGCACTGCCCATGTCTTTGATTAGCACTGCTGTGTTTCTTTCAGATGCAGAATTGTATGGAAGTCCTTCTAGAAGGAGTGTGGGCTTCCCCTGCCCATTTTCCTGGTTATTCTCACTTGGTGACCCTTTATTTTTCACGAGAACTGGCACAGATGGTGCCTCAAATCCAGGTGTGCAATTTCTTAGATTTTTTTGGGTTTAAATACTTGTCAGAGTCCTTCTCAGCTGCTGCTGACTTGAGAGATTTGTTTTCCTGTGGAAGTGACATTTTCTGAGCAAAAGCAGTTAGGCTGTCCTGAGAGTAATCCTTTGAGCAGCATATAAATGGAGTGATTAATCTACTGGATGCACTTCTCTGTAATTACAAGTAATTACTTTAAAGTCAAATCTGCAAATGAGAATACCTCTCTGTACGGTAGGGGAAGATGTAAAAAGCAGCTGAAGTGGCTATCTTTAAAATGACATTAAATCACTGATTGTTTCTGAAGGCAGGAATAAAAAGATAAAATAGCGGTTTTTAAAGCGAACTTGCACGTTATCCTGACACCAAATATGATGAAGGGATATTTTACAGTATAAACTTCTAAAGATTTTCAGTAATAAATTTTAATTAGGAAATAAAGTAGAAAACTTGATTTTGAGCTGTCTAAAATTTAAATGAAAGGGTAAAAGCTGAAATATTTTCAAAACCCAACCCACTGCTGTGTAGAAAAATCACTGAGATGTATCATTATGGATATAAAGATACTGAAAATTACCTCTCTTGTGCCTATTTCAGTTTCAGTGTTATGCTTGAACATGATTCAGCATTCTTGTGTCTTTTCAGTATTGCATTCAATTTTTTTAGAATCTATGACTGACTTTCCTAAAGTTGCTAATAAGCTTCTTTTCAAATAATGCTTGCCGTCTCTTCTATTTCTGTCATGCCTCATTAAGGTGATCCTATACACATGTATGCTTAATTAAGGCTTTTCGTTATAATAAGCCTTTAATCCAGAGGTGCTGGGCCTTAATTGAAACTCAGAGAAGATTAGTGTCCTCTCTTATTTTGGTTTTCACTTTTACTGTACTTCCTACTGCATCTAAACTAAAATGCCTGTGTTAGCCTGAGCTGATACATGGCCAGGAAGAAATTAAAATTCATACTGCAGTCTTCTGGAGAGTAACCTGCCTTAGTAATTGCCATTTCTTATTAAGTGCCACCTTTTACCAAGAGCCTCCACTTCAAATGCAAAAGGTTGCTTTAAACACTCCAAGGACATTAACATAATGAACACGCTGCCTGTTTTGAAGGTGACTAATAAGTGACTAATGATACCTGGTTTTATCCATGTGTATAATTTTTAAATGTTAATTGTAAGTTTAAATAGTGCTGAAATCTCAGATCTGTCTCAAATGACTGACTTTTACAGAATCCTTTTTAAGAAGACCTAGGAAAAATGAGGATTTTTAGCCACAGGTTAGCTGCACTCATCTGAGGTACTGTACACTGCAGTAAATTTTAAAACCTTTTTGGAGGAGTAAGACACAGATTCAACAGCTTCTGGTCTTCTAGAATGAAATGAATCAGCCAAAGAGCCAATCTATTTTCTTCTTGTAGAGTTGCAACTGGGCATGGTACTGCTAATCAGCAGAGGCAGGTGGCCTGCTGTCATCAATGTCAGGAGAGCAACTTTTCAGGAAGAGCTATTAAATTGTGTGGGCTGAACAAATCTGATACAGAAACAGCAATGCCGGGGCAAAGGTTTGTAGCAAACTTTTTAGTGTAGCAACTGAAATGGGCTTCACTGATATAGTGTCTTTACGTCATGAAACTTGCTGCCTGTAATGTGTTTTTACACTTAGTCATGTTAAAAAAGTGTGATAAAAATATGAATGTAAGTGAAAGGAAAGCAGTACTATTGTGCAGGTTGGTTGAGACTGAGTGGTGCTTTCTAAAAGGATGTGTTATAAAAGGTGTATTGGCACAGTAAGTAAAGCCTGAGGAGAGCAGTGAGCGTGGTGAGGGCTCTACCTGCCCTGAGCTTACCCCTTAAAGGCTTTTGTTAGGTAGGATGGTCCAGGGATGCTCCCAGGGATGCTGGGCTGTCCCTGCCTCCCAGCCAGGCTCCAGGGTGTAGGCATTGAGGAGGATGGGTAATCTTTTGCTGTGTGAACATACAGATTTTTTCTCCCAGTGGAAATCAGGACATTTATGCTCCTGGAAGCCCACAAGCCAGTGTTCCTTCTGAGAACCAAGTGCACTGCTGTCACAAACAATGAGAGCCGAGTCTGAACGCATTAAGGAGGAATTCCAGCTTGAAATACTTCTGCTGGCTGAGGAGGGCAGGTTTTGGCAAATCTGCACTTGTGAGCCCTGCCTTTGACTCAGCAAGGAACACCATGTCACAGACCTTTGTAGTTGCCCTGTTAAAGGTTGTTTTAAGAGATCTGAGTCAGACATCCTTAATTACACAAATACAGTGTCTGCCCTTTCTTCTCAGGAGTTTGAAAATGTTTTACCTCGTTTGCTCTTTGTTCACATATATTAAATATCTGTTTGTACACAGGCATACTATGTATTTGTCATTGTTGTGTTATTTTCTTACTGTTTGCATTTTCTGTGAATTTCTGTAAACTTTCAGGCATGTGCTTCCAACTCAGTAGGAAAGCTGAGCAATTTTAGTTTGTAAGGGTAGTAGACATGTTATTAGGTTTCATTTAAAGCCCTTACAAGCCAGTGAAAAGGTTGTCACTTGTTCGTAGTTGAATTAAAAATCTGCTTTGTTAAGTAAATATTACTTCCTCCTCAGCGAGAAAAAGCTTAATTTAAGGATAAATTTATATATATAAAATATTTGATCAAATTAGATTCCAACTAAAATGTGATTTCACATACTACCATTGTTTTTTATTGAGCATATGTCTTATTGAAAATATTTTTTACTCCAATAGTGCACACTTAGTGAGGATTTATAGATGTAATGTGCTTTATATTTTTGAAAATGTTAAAATATTTTATAAGAATACATTGGCAATTGCTTAGGTAATGTTGCTATTAAAACAACAAAACATCTTGTTTGCAATATTTCTGCTGGTAGGCAGCAGAACCTGTGTGGTAGGAGGCTGTGTAATGTGGTAGACGTAGGAATGTTTCATTTTGGATCAGTTTATGAAGTGCTGAGAGTGTTTTAATATCTAATTTTCAGTCAGATTAATATTTGCTTAATGGAGATATTTTTCACTTGGTGGTATATCTGTTGAACTGTGTAAAGGGGGAATTTTCTGCAAATGTGTTCCACAGAGTGCAAGCCTAGAATTCATACCATTGTCAGCATTTAATGCACTGAAATTGTTTCTTCCTTTCTGTTTGTCTTTGGAGAGGTCCTCATTCCTTGGGGATGAAGTAAAGCTCTGGTTCCATCACTGCAGCCTTCAGAATGAGCACTGAAAACACAGGATTCTTTCCCTGGATTGATGAAAGTAATTTCTTGTTTGCTGTGTCAAACAAAGCATGCTATTTGTCACATTGTGGTTTGTGTATCTTTTAAGAAGCTTTCAACTTTGATCTGAGCCAAGGTACACTCAGTAGCACAGATGACAGAAGTAACAAACCAGTGATGTGCATTGTCATTCATACAAACTCTTTAAGTCAACAAATACTGAGACTTAGATGTAGAAAACCATACTGCTTTTGAGAGGGCTTGTGCATTCTTGTGAGAAAATGAAGACCTTTGCTTTTCTTGTTTCAGACAAAGGTGTGGAACAATTTATTAGTTAAGGATTCAGTTCAGTGTCTGCAATCAAAAGGTGCCTCATCTAGTCCAGATTCTGGCCCTTGCTGATATTTTCTAGGTAAACAGTTGCATTTAAAAGACATTGTGAAGATGGGCTCAGTAGCACATAAAAGCTGCTTTCTTCAAACTGTCATCACAGAGGTTTTCAGAGCATGCTTTTAATACTTCCAGAGCTGGTGTTTGTGTCTTTTTCTCCCTCTTCCTCCTCTCTCTCTTTATCTTAAATGCTATTTGAAACAGGAGTGTTTTTTTTAAATACAACTTTCACCTGCTTTTTACCTGATATGTCTGAAGGGAAATTAACCTTTTGTGTAACAAGACTGAGGGCTAGAAAACTGTTTTGCTGTTTCACAGCCCTAGCATTTTAAGAAGATTCAAAAAAGAGAAAATGATAAAAAGTCAGCAATAGTTATGAATGATTGTGTGGTTCTGGAAGCTGCCATATATTAAAACTTTGAGGTTTGAGGCACTGTTTGATCACCCACTTTGGCCTTCTAAGATTGTGCAAGGAATTTTATGCAGTTGTTTAGACCTTAAACCGTTTGTTTAAATATGTATTTCAGAAAGACATCCAGTTTTCATCTAAAAATTTCATAATGTGGAGGAGGTTGTTTGTTCAAGTGATTAATCATCATGACTGTTACTCTTTATTATATCTCATTTGAATTTGTCTGGCATCAGCTTCTCACCATTTGCTCTTTTTATGCCTCTCTCATCTAGGCTGAAGAGCTCTTTATTAACTGGTATTATTTTCTCCTTGAAAAGATACATTAACGATGTCATCAAGTCATCCCTCAATTTCTGTTGTTAATCTGAATAGATTGGGTTTGTCAGACCACTTGAGACATTTGCCTAGGCCTAGAATATTTTCCTGTCTTTTTTGCACCCCGTGCATTACACAAATTTTCAGCTTAAT